AAGCCTAGATGTAGCAGCTAGGTATACTCTTAACATGAAAGGAAATGGGAATAACCTAGATATATGAAAATGTAGGCTTTAAATATTTATAAAGCTGGGATGAGAAGCCCTACAAACATTGCTAGTCTTTAACTCCCAGCATTCCTCATATTTTGCTATGATTGCTACGGGCTGATGCAGGCCCGTAGCCAGGATTTCGATTCGGGGGGGGGGGGGGGTGCTGAGTTTTTTTCAGGGGGGGGTTCGGGGGGGCTGAGTTTGGGGGGGTGAGTCTGAGTGAAAGAGGGTCTACCCTAGCAAACCTTTTGTATCATTACCCCAATACCCCCATGCATATGGGATATATTGAGTATGGTGATCAGATCATGATATGAATAAACATAACAGTTTAAATAATGCACCAGTAAGGCCTTTTTGCAACCACCATGAGAATTTCGGGGGGGGGGGCTGAAGCCCCTCAAGCCCCCCCCCCCCCCGGCTACATGCCTATGAGTTTGCTGTCTAACAGCATTTAGACAGCTCCTGCCCTCATTTTTTTCTTTGTGGAGCAAAATCAGAATCAGAATTTAAAATGCCACTCAATGGTCAGTTTCCTTTATGATTTTATTTTTCTGTTGAGAAAAATATAGAAGTAGAAATGCTAGTCCACAGGGAAGTTGGCAAAGAAATCTCCCTCCTCACATGGAACTGTTTCATACTTCTAAAAAAACAAGCACAACATGCAATTTCCATCCCTTTTATAGCTGTAAATCTGTTAAAGACATTTCTGGATGAAGACTCCATGGGTAATCCATGCATGCTAGAAGTAATGTGCCACGATCCAGCACCCTTCTGTGCCTGACTCATGTCTGCAGGAACAAGTGATCTCTTGACAAATAAGATGGGTGAATGCTAGCTTCAGAAAGTGGACTTTCATGCTCCAGTTGAACCAGCCCAAACACAGCTGGGTGCTGACTGAGTTCAATTACTTATTTTAATGTTGCATCTGAACTGAAAAATGCTAAAACCCACTTCAACAAACTTTGAATTGATGTCCACTTGATTCTATGATTCTACTTGCTTTGACTTAAATTGAAGTGTGCTTGTTTCACACAGATAACCTAAGGTGCCTTCAGACATTTAAGCATTAAGGAATATCAGTTCACCTTTAAGACAAGTAAGCTGAACTTCCTGAATCTGTGGATGCAGTATTGCAAGACAGATGCTACATAGGTATTATTCACAGCAAGAGGTTTTACATTGGAAATTCAGGGGATGCATGCTGTTTGGCTCCTTTCGATGAAGATAAAGGTGTGTGTGTGTGTGTGTGTGTTGGGATGCAATACCACTAGGTGGCAGTATTGGCTCACTCTCTGGAATTGGAGCAAAACTGGGGGTGCCAACCCTTTCAGAAACCTCCTGAAAGATAGAACTCTTCTGTGTCTGGTTCTGTCCACTTACTATTTCCCATCAAAATGCTTTCTGCCCATTTGGAGGAGCCCAAATCTTCATATTTTAACAGAAAGGGGGTGGGGAGCTGTGTTCATGTATTTCTTGCAAAATACATCTGTATGATCTTGATGCTGGATTTTGTTGCTGTTTCTCTTCTGCTTTAATAAGGTTTAGAATTTACTTACCCAGAAGATTAATCTTATAAAGACATAACTGAATACTGACAGGGAATTGATTTTTGAGACTTTGTGAGATTACAGACATAGCTTGGGGTGATATCCCCGAGCTGTCAGATTGATTCCACGAATACAAAAAGCACCAGAAAAGAATAGCAACCAAAAACTCTGGCATCTTTATAATCATACATTGAAAACTTAACAAAGGAGTCATATGGCTTTCTAGATCATCATTGTATCATTAATAAAAATAATAAAGTTTGTACAGGTGACTCTTCTTCGCCATAGATTCTGCACTGATGGATTCCATGCTCCATAGCTTAAAAATAATCCAAAGAAATAAAATTTAAAAACAACGCTTGATTTTGGTATTTTATATAAAGGACACCATTTTACTGTGCAATGAGACTTGAGCATCCATGGACTTTGGTATGTCTAGGGGGTTCTGGAACCAATTCCCAATACCAAGGGCCCACTCCAATGATTTGCAATGTTGTATACATTATGGGATAAATAAATGAAACAAGATTTTGTATAAGAGCTGATCTCAAATGTGTTTCAAGGTCTGTCTGAAAAATCAGGGTTTTTCGGGGTTTGTAAAGCCAGTGTGGTGTAGTAGTTTGTGTGTTTTGAATCCTTGCTTGGCCATGGAACACACTGCATGACCTTGGGCAAATCAGACTCTCACAAACTCAGAAGAAGATAATAAATCTGAATAAATCTTGACAAGAAAGTGTGTTATGCTCACTTTAGGATGGTCACACAACACCAATATCTCCATTAGTTTCAATGGCTGGAGCCGCTGAATGCAATACTTCCATATTGTTCTGGCTGGATCTATTTTAAGGGGATGTTCTGGTCTACACAGTTCAAAATGGTTTATTTTAAAATGGAAGAAAGTAGTTGATGATAGGGGAATGGCACTATGAAAGTAGCAAAGCCAGAAAGAAGCAGAAAGATTTATTGTAGACATGACTCTTGAGTTTGACCTCTGGAGCCCAAAAGGTACTTGTAGGCTTCTAATGACCTTTCAAGTGATGGAAAATTGATGGGCCGATTGTCCTGCTTTGCTCTGTTGTGGCCTGAGTTCTTTTCCAAAGGTGCTTGAATCCATTCTTAATGTGTGATAATGGACCTCCAATTTAGAAAATCAATAAAAAATGGCAAGCTAAAAAATAATAATGCTATCACAAATTAGAGTGTCATGCATTCCAACAATGATCAAAATGTTTTTCCATGTTGTCAAATATAAGTTGTTTCTTATTAAACCAGATAATGAATAACTGCAGAGTGTGGCTGGCATAACTTACTGATAGTATCATTGTTGGAGTGTTGGTGGTTTCTGGGCTGTATGGCCATGTTCCAGCAGCATTTTCTCCTGATGTTTTACTTCCATCTGTAGCTGGCACCTTCAGAGGATCTAGCCAGCCACAGATGCAAGCAAAACACAAGGAGAAAATGCTTCTAGAACATGGCCATACAGCTCAGAAGCCACACAACACTCCAGTGATTCTGGCTGTGAAAGCCTCCGATGGTATCATTGTTGCTTAATGTACTCTCAGAATGTGGATTTACTTTGGGCTTCACATCCTTGAATTATGATAGATTGAGGTCGCATCTCCACTGGCTGCTTATTCTGGGGTCAGTCTGGAACATTTTGGTTCAAACTGGCCCTAGAGCAATAAAGATGGTGCCCAAGTGATTATGTAGGAATTCCTAGAAATAGTTTGAGACCCGGATGGTAATGACACAAACCAAAGAACACTGATGTGCAATCCTAGGATTTCATCACACTAGAGCATGGATCCACTTTAAATCCAGTTGCTGCCTCCTGCAGAGTTCTGGGGCTTGTAGTTTACAGTGGGGGGGGGGGCTTTAAACGGCCTAGCCAGGCAGGTCCTGGGCCTCACTAAACTACAAACCCCAGAATTCTGCATAAGGCAGCAACTGAATTTGAAGTGGATAGATGATCTAGTGTGGTGGCTCYTCGGCTGTGGAACACCCTTCCCGYGGACATCAGACTGGCTCCTTCCCTGATGATATTCCKCAGGAAACTAAAGACTTGGCTGTTCAAGAAGGCGTTCGAACAAGAAGTGCAATAATTGGTARTGAYGAYAGGAATGGAACAACGGAAAATGATACTGGATTGTGGTTTAGACGATGAGACGACGTGGAATGGCTTTTGTAGTATTGATGATGTTTTTTGATGATGATGTTTTGGTTAATGCTGGACTGATTATTTTAGATTGTGTCTTGAATTTTGAACYGTGTTCTTTCTATGTTGTACACCGCTGTGAGTCGCCCCCGGGATGAGAACAGCGGTATATAAGCAAAGTAAATAAATAAATAAATAAATAAATAATAAATGAAGTCCTAATGTATTTGCCCCAGAGAAAATCTAATAAACTCTAACTGAAATATTTCTGATGAAACATGTATGGCGTTTCTTTTTGTTATTTGCTATCAAGTCAATTTCATCATCTTATTATTATTATTATTATTATTATTATTATTAAACTTTATTTGTACCCCGCTAGCATCTCCCGAAGGACTCGATGCGGCTTACAAAGGCCAAGGCCTCAATACACAACATAACAATACACTTAAAGCAAATTAAAACAATTAAAGCAGTATTAAAACAACATCTTATGGCAGCCCTGTGGTGCTGATATCATAAATCCTTTTGGCTCGATACTGACGTTTATTTATCAAATAATATGCATTACATGAGATGAAAGGCAGTAGATTTTTTTTTCAAGTCCCATGTCATTTGAAGAAGTAAAGCTTCAGCAAGCTCTACATGTTTTAAATAGGTTATAAATTCTGGTCTAGATGTCAAGAAAAAAAACCCATTTGGAAAAGCTGATATGTTCATATGAGTAACAAAGTAGTTGATGGCTGTGAAGTGTTTTCAGATTATCTGTCAAAGGTCCGTCATCTTCCCTCCACGCTTTACTAAATCTTTTCTTAAAAGGGGGGGGGGGGGGGGGGGTTGGTAGGGGACTGCTGTAGCCAGCAGTCATTAACTGCATTTTAATGTCAAAGTTTTAAAGTAGCTTGATCAATATTAAGCAGGAATTGAGGCACTCTATGTCCCAGTTTATTTATTTGTTTTCTTAATAAATATTTGATGTTATATTTCTACAGTTTTACAGGAAAGAGCAAATATTAGATCATAGCAAATATCGAGTATCGACGGGCCACTGCAGCTAAGTAAGGGAATTGTTTCCCATTCTAATCAACATCGCTCATAAATACTCTTTTGCCATCAATACATTTTGCTTACAGTTAGTGGCAAAATCTGTGTCTGTCCCCCTCATTCTCCTCCCACTTTGGAGGCAGGGGAGAGATGAGAGAAATGAAAAGGTGGAGCTCTAGAACTTGGAAGTCTCAAAACCCTCCTCTTTCGTCCACACTTTCCCCAGACAGCTTGAATAGCTTTGGGACTGTGCTGCAATCCCATAGGTATGTAAGACTTTAATGTTTTCTTCATCTATTTCTAACTTGAAGATTCCTGATGGTAGCAATTACTGCTGTCAATTCTTGAAGTTCTGCCTAGAAAGCTTTTGGTAGCCTGTTGTCTGTTCATATAGTTTTTGACATAAGTTGTAGACAAACCAAAAATTAATGCAAGACATTAGCTTTGAGCTTATATTATTACTTTCAGAGTTCAAGTAATTCACTGCATTTTATTGAAAAACCTCATGCAGTACATATAACAAAATATTCTGAGACATTCTTTAGGGGGCAGAATGTGATGTTACTGAACTAGCAATTCAAATAAGATATCAAGGGAATATATCTGTGCTATGCCATGTGCGCACCTAGGGAGTAATGCTAGGATGTACTGGCTTTCAGACATGCCACAATGATCTAATTCAGTTTTATGAATCCCTGTAAATCATTAGTTTGAAGGCTCAGCATTTACGTACTGTTCATTCACAAAACCTTTTTGGTTTTCTATAATACATTTGCTCTTTTAAATAATTCACATGGCTGGTGAATTCATTTTAATCCTTCAGAGCTTTAAATGAATAATGGATCATGTTCACATTCAACTTAACTGAAGCAATGTTCATGGTTTACTTTTTTGGTGCTAAGACTATTAAATAAGCCAGACAATGTAGCCAGTAATTCTACAAAAACACAGGAGGAAATAAAATGTCTGTTATCCCATTCAGGCTTAAGCATAGCAAGTTTATGGAAATTGAAAGATAAAAAACAGAAGCATGTGATGGTTTGGATGAGAATACCGGTATTTCTGACATCTTTAATCAGGCTTCATTATTATTGTTTTTCATAGATGTAACTACATTATTAGCTGTTTGAACCATATTTTCTGAAATGCCACACTTGTTTACCTGCTGAAAATATGAAGGGCTTTTTTATTTTTTATATGTAGTAGAATTTCACTGCAAGAAATAACAACAATATTTTGCCTATGTTCCTAAAAACCTGAATATATTGAGAAGCATGCAATATTGGGGCTCATATTGCTCCATATTTCGAATATTCAGTGTCTTCTTGGGTATTATCCAAATATTCTCTATTCAGAGCATTGGCTCATTCGGCTGAAAAGTTGGAGTCTAGTTCTGGGGCATTCACTGACCTAACTTGAGTTGAAATAACAGCATTATTACCCTGCAAATGTGTGTGTGTGTGTTCAAGTTGTCTTGTGGACTTATGACAAGTCCATGAACTTCATAGGATTTTTTAAGGCAAAGAATACTCAGAGGTGGTTTTGCCAGTTCCTTTCTCTGAAATGTAGCCTACCGCACTTGGTATCTCTTGGTGGCCTCCATCCAGGTATGAACCAGGGCTGACCCTGATTAGCTTCCAAGATTAGTATATAGTGCCTTTAGGGTAGTGGCTTTCAAAGTGTGCTCTGAAGAGCTGTGAAGCATACTGAAGGGCTCCTTGGTTCTCTTCTGCCTCCCCTTCTCTCTCCAAGCTTTCACTCCTCTTTCCTTCCTTGCCACCCTGATCCATTCTCCCTCAACTTCCTTGCTTCCAAAATCCATTTTCCCTCCCACCACTTTGATTGTGTCCTTCCTGCATGGCAGAAGGGAGTTGAACTGGATGGCTCCTGGGGCTTCTGTTGTTGTTGTTATTATTATTACAACAAAGAACGGGTGTCCATCTGTTGGAGTGCTTTGATTGTGCTTTTCCTTCATGGCAAAAGGGAGTTGGACTGGATGGCTCCTGGGGTTTCTGTTGTTGTTGTTGTTGTTACAATAAAGGATGGGTGGCCATCTGTTAGGGTGCTTTGATTATGTGTTTCCTGCATGGCAGAAGGGAGTTGAACTAGATGGCTCCTGAGGTTTCTGTTGTTGTTGTTGTTACAACAAAGGATGGGGTGCTTTGATTATGTGTTTCCTGCATGGCAGAAAGGGCAGAGTATTTCTGCAATTGACAATTTCATATCATTCTCCAATACCATTTCTAAACATTCTTAAAATAATGCCACTGGACGCTACCACTATGAAAATACTTGTGTTCCTTAGCAACACCATTAAAGAAAATGACTGTATGGCTCCTGGGGTCTTCCACTGAAATACTGTTAAGTTTATGTTGGTTGAAATTGTTCTCCATTTTAAATATTGTATTGTTTTTTTTCCTTTCCTTTTTGTTAGCACTACAAACAATATTTGTGCAGTGTGCATAGGAATTTGTTCATGTTTTTTCAATTAGTTCAGATAAACACTCTCCATCCATCTGCCTCTGGCCTGGGCCATCTGTCAAATTTTAAAACACAATGTGTCAAACAATTCCTGCATGCTCCACAAGAATCTTTTGTTTAAAAAAAAGGGCTCCATGGCTGAAGAAGTTTGAGAACTCCTGCTTTAGGGTATTGGTGGCTAAATATTAATTCCAGTTTCACTTGAAGATGCACCAGAAAATAGTATAACCAGGCTCATTTTCCAACATCTGGTGCCCTCATCATATTTAGGCAGTCTAGCATCTTTGGTGTCCAAAGAGTAATGCCAACAATATGTCATCCTTGACTAGTCTTTAGGTGTCCTGGCTAGATAAAATTGAAATAACCCTTCTCATTTGGCCCACTGCAGCATTGTAATCAATGTTCAGCTGCAAAGCCTCAATATTAGCTTAGCAACAAACAAAAACAAAAAGAAAAAAAAACTGGTGACACTATTATTGGTCTAGGGCAGGGGTCCTCAAACTAAGGCCCGGGGGCCAGATGTGGCCCTCCAAGCTCATTTACCCGGCCCTCGCTCAGGGTCAACCTAAGTCTGACATTATTATCTCATCATCCAAAAGCAGGCCCACACTTCCCATTGAAATACCAATAAGTTTATATTAGTCAAAATTGTTATTCATTTGAATTATTGCATTGTTTTAAGTGTTTTTTGCATTACAAATAAGTTATGTGCAGTGTGCATAGGAATTCATTCATGTTTTTTTCAAATTATAATCCGGCCCTCCAACAGTTTGAGGGACTGTGACCTGGCCCTCTGCTTAAAAAGTTTGTGGACCCTTGGTCTAGGGATTCTAATTTGAGTAAGTTATATTGCAGACCCATTTTACTGGAAATGAGCAGTGACCACCAGTGGTAACTGCAAAAATCTGTGTGAGCCAACTCTCAGTGGCACTATCTAGAGATGTGGTACACAGAATAAGTCTTCACATAATTGTAATTCCTTTAATGGTGTTGCTAAGGAACACAAGTATTTTCATAGTGATAGCACCCAGTGGCATTATTTTATGAATGTTTATAAGTGGCATTTGAGACTGAGATGAGATTGTCCATTGAAATACTCTTGTACAATCAGACACACACTTTCATATGTGCTCAATAATATATTTTGCATATTGTCATTTTTATGAGCTTATAAAAGCATATGGCAGTTGAGGGGAGGGAGCAGAAAGAGGAAGAAAGAGGCGGTCTGTCCTTACAATGCATCTCACTCCCCAACATTTAGGACTTTAGCACATTAATCCACTATTCCACTTTTGTTGTTTTTATGATGTCTTATACTTCTCAATGGAGCCCCCGGTGGCGCAGTGGATTAAAGCACTGAGCTGCTGAGCTTGTTGATCGAAAGGTCGCAGGTTTGATTCCAGGGAGAGGCGTGAGCTTCCGCTGTCAGCCCTAGCTTCTGCCAACCTAGCAGTTAGAAAACATGCAAATGTGAGTAGATCAATAGGTACCGCTCCGGCGGGAAGGTAACGGCGCTCCATGCAGTCATGCCGGCCACATGACCTTGGAGGTGTCTACGGACAACGCTGGCTCTTCGGCTTAGAAATGGAGATGAGCACCACACCCCAGAGTCAGACATGACTGGACTTAATGTCAGGGGGACTACCTTTACCTATACTTCTCAATGTTTTTTATCTATTATGTTTTATGTATACTGATTTGTTGGAAACCGCCTTGAGTCGCCAATTGGCTGAGTAAGTACAAATACAGTAAGTAAGTAAATAAATAAATATTCTACTACAGTCAAGGTAGTGCAGGTAGTGGATAAATACCAAATTGAGCAGCACTGACATTCCACATCTCTCCACCATTTTGTGATCCCTCACATCCTTGTAAACCCGCCTTCCTGCAGTACTGCAGTTTCTTTATTTTGATTATTATTTTGATTCATTATGTGACATGATTTTTGTTCCTGGGTTATAAATGTCATTTTCTAATTGGTTCTATCATAAAAACATGGAAAGTGTATTAAACTGCAAAAAAATTGTTTTTGCGGGATTTCCTGCAGCACATCTCATCTGATTTCATGCTAAAATAATTTAAATAGGGTATTTGCTTTTAATTACATGATGCTGGATGAAATGTTGTTTTATTAAGTTCTTATTAAGTTCTACTTTTTATAATGACCTTAGTAATGGCATTTGACTGAATACTCTGAAGACATCAGATTCTGTCTCATCTTCTAGGCTAACCAGAGTCAGTCAGGGTTAGTATCTGGATGGTAGACCACCAGAATATATAGGTTGTATTTCAGAGTAAGGCAATGAAAAACCATCTTGCCTAAGAAAACCCCAGAAAATTTATGAGTCTTTACAATGTGATAAGTTATTTATTTATCGTGTCAGAAGTGAGTTGAGGGTACAGTTAAAATGCATTTAAAAACACAAACAATTTTTTTAAAAAACTTGGCATTATGCTAAATGTTCTTTGACCAGAAACTGGCCACTTGGAGTGCCTCTGGTGTAGCTGTGAGAAGGTCCTCCATTGTGCATGTGGCAAGGCTCAGGTTGCATTGTAGTAGGTGGTCTGTGATTTGCTCTTCTCATCACTCGCATATCATGGACTCCACTTTCTAGCCCTATTTCTTAAGGTTTGCTCTATATCTTGTGGTGCCAAGCCTGTTCAGTGCCTTCCAGGTTGTCCACTCTTCTGTGTGCCCAGGAGGGAGTTCCTCATCTGGTCTCAGCCACTGATTGAGGTGCTGGATTTTAGCCTGCCACTTTTGGACTCTCGCTTGCGGAGGTGTTCCTGCGAGTATCCCTTTCAATTTTAGGAAGCTATTTATTTATTTAAGGCATTGGCATACTAGCTGATATCCAAACAGAGGATGGGCCGAAGATGTCAATGCCTTGGTCCTTTCATTGCTGGCTGCTACTTCCCAGTGGATGTCCGTGGTGTGATACTAGCTAAACAGTATAATTTCTCCAGTGAGTAGGTTGTAGACATCCTGTGATAATGCAGCATGTCTCATTAAGAGCCACATCCACTGTTTTAGCGTGGTGAGAAGTATTCCACACTGGGCATGCATATTCAGCAGCAGAATAGCAAAGCACAAGGGCCAATGTCTTCACTGTATCAGGTTGTGATCCCCAGTCAGCTTTTGTATGAAATTGTTTCTAGCACCCACTTTTTGCTTGATATTCAAGCAGTGCTTCTTGTAGGTCAAAGCATGGTCCAGGTATTTGGGTGTGCTGTAATATTCCAGTGGCATTCCTTCCCAAGTAATCCCCAGAGCTTGAGATGCTTGCCTGTTCTTAAGATGAAAAGCACACACGTGTTTGCATTTTAGATGGGTTAGAAATCAGCTGGTTTCCCCTGTAATAGGCAGTAAGAGCACCTAAAGTCTGGATTGTGATTTTAGTTCGAGATGCATGGGATTATTATTGGTGGCCCAATAATTGGTATTGTATGTGTTGTATGTTTTAAATTGAAGATTGTTTTTAATTGTTGTAAACCGCAATGAGTCGCCGACTTAGGCTGAGATATTAGCGGTATACAAGTGTATAAATAAATAAAATAAATAAATAAATAAAGCTTTGGAGAGCCTCTGTTCAACCATTTCAAATCTCCCTGCTTGAGCAGTGATGGCATAGATGAAACAACCTAATAAGTGACTTGAAGGCACCTAAACACACACATTGTGTGCTAGAATAGCCCTTTGACCATAAAAATAACCCAAAAGTACTTTAAAGACATGTAGAGTAGACAGTGTACTATTTTTTCCCTGAAATCTAGTTCATAACCTGTTTTTGTTTTCTTTTTTTGTTTCTTGTTTTGAGTTGGTGAGAATTTTATTGTGAGAAAGTCCTTCCCTGAGACAATGATTAATTTCATTAAATCAATTAATAATTGAGAAGTGCTGAAAGGTGAATGGAAGCAAAATGCTTTTGTGGTACTCTGTTAGTATTCATAGTGGTTTTGAACTCATTATTCCATTGTGGTGAACCAGACAGAAGCTCAAATCTCAAAAGCCTACAATTATGATAATGGATATATTGTGAATATTACTAGTTCTTCTGTGTTAGATCTAAGTATGTAGATATACACAGAAAAAGCCATCAGGGATAATAGAGAGAGAAAAACAAAAGAACCTTGAAGACAAATTTGAATGATCACCCAGTGGGGGTTTGTGTTAACAGATGACATTGTATATGCTACATAAGTGTAGGACATAGTAGCACTCTAAAGAAAGAAAAGGAATATCATCATCCAACTATGCATCAGTGGAGGAAAGCAAATAACATAGAAGGAAAGGAAATGTGAAATTGGTGATTTAAATTAGACTTTCATTATTTTGAAATTAGGTCTGATTCAAATTCAAGGCAGCCATGAATAAAACATTACCCATTGTAGGCAGACCGCATTTGATGTATGCTTGTGTATGCATACGTTAAGGCAGTGTTGGCACACCAGTTGCCTATCGAGGAGGCTGGATCAGATTCAGCTTTTGATACATGGGGATAAATATTATTAAAATGTCAGGATTGTTACATGATCTATTGTCTCAATATGATGCTACTAAACCATTGCACTCAAATGTGTGTCATTTTATGTGTCTTCAAGTCAATTCAGGACAATAGCAGAGTATTCTTTATAAGAGTGTGTGAATTGCACAAGGTTGCCAGGGTTGCCAGGGGGTTTTCATGGCTGGGTTGGGATTTGAAACCTGGTCCCTTAAATCCCTATTTCTACACTACACTGTTTCTTTGCTTCTTTGTTTTTAACTTCATGAACATGCCCCTTATATTGTTTTTTTGTCAACTATGGAGCATGTTCAGTTATGTGTTAAAATTGAAATGCAGATACGAGGGCTCATTTTACATCTAGAAAGAGAGGCACGGACAGTACTGAAAGCATCTCATTGCCTCATGCCACTGGGGCACTTTCCTTCCAGCTGCCCCTTGTTTAGCCAGTGGAAAATTCTTATTGGGCAGACCTGGAAAGTCTGGGGGGGGGGGCACAGGGGGAGAATAGTAGGTAAGAGAGGACTGCTCTTCCAAAATCTTTCATAAACATATACTCCTCACATTATATACAAAACCATATCCTTCCTCCAAATGTGTAGTGATGAGTTTTACTGGGTTCTACTGCCATAAAGAAAACTATAGTAATGTTAATGAATGTTAATAATACCATTAATAATAATAATAAAAACAATAACAACAATGAGGAGGAAAAGGTATTGAAGAAGATGTCATCATAAGTAGTTGAACAGCTGGTGACTTTTTATATTGTGGTGAGCGGAAAAATCTACAACCAAAGTGAATATCCAAAACTTCTCCTGGGGTTTACCATGAATATTAAAAAGCAAGTTGATAATAAATAAAAATATTGACTTTAAGTCAGAGAAAAAATAATTTCTTTTGGGCTGCTGCTATTACTCTGTTTTCCACAGATATCATGAAAAGCAGAAGGAATGGTACCTTGGAGAGCTCAAAAAGCCTTTACTCCAGTATCTCTCGTAGCACAGATCTGTCATACAGTGAAAGTGTGAGTACTAAAATCCAAATCCACACAGCTAATGTGGTAAAATTCTTCCAGGCTCAGGAACCGACACCTAGTGTAACTATCGCATGCAGGGAGAAAATAAATCATTGGTGATTATAATATTCTTTATGAATTCTGGATTTTCATTGTGAGATTTTGGCATGATTGGATAGATTTTGTTTGCTTTTGATATATTTGGTAGAACAGGTGATTGTGTATCCAAGTAATCCTCTTTCCCTCTGAGTTTTATAGTTTATATTTTGATTTTCTTTTGTAACACTCTACAGAAATGAAGTATATGTGCTTTGGTGTTCTCTAGGACTGGTTGAAATTGAAATTTAAAATTGTGTATTGGTATGCTTGTAGATTTGTGTACAACCCAGCCATGTAACATGTTTCTGAGTCCACAGATACTTCATTTTAGTTACATTCAATTCTATTTGGAAGCCTATATGGCAGGCTTGCATAACATGTGGCCTGCAGGCTGCATGTGGTCTATGGAAGCCATTGGTGTGGCCTGCTTAGCACTGCCCCCTGCTGCTATTTGAACCCCCTGCACACATCAACAATTCTAATAAATTATTAATTATACTTTACTTTGAAAGTGAGGTGCTAAAACCTATTTACAGCCCGTATCTAATTTTGGTCTCTTAACTACTCACAAGTTCTTCCAGTCTGCTGTATGGAATGGAGGAACTTCCTCAGAACTGGGAATCTAGCAGCACTAATGTTCCAGATTCACAGAAAACTCATTGTGAACTCAAATGAATCGTCAATGTTTTTGGGGAGAGAGTATATTTAATATGAATCTAAGAACAAAAGGAAGAAAAGCAGATAGAAAGAGTACAAGCAGTAATTTGCACCCTTCACACTCTTCTTAGTAAAGACATTTAGTCCTAGAAGAACAAAAATAGTTCTCAAAGGAACTATCAGTCTTATGGGACTGCTAATGGGATGGAAAAGTGAGCATAGTGGTCAATACTATGCTCACTTTTCCATCCCATTTGCACATTTGCACAACCCTTTAATTGGTTCGATGCACCCAGAATTCCCAGACATATACCTTATCGTATTTTTGGGTCACTAGTTTAACTCTCCTATGCAGTTGCAAATACATTGATGTAACAGTAAGAGAAAAGTTCATTCAGTACTGAATAAATATTTCATATACATGAAAGTATCACTCTTCTGTATGTGATGCAAGGAATATCTATATATATAAAAATGCTCTGTCCATAATGAGTACCTTCAAAACAAAAGAACCAATGAACGAAATCACACCAAATTTGGCAACAAAATGTCTCATAACACAAGGAGTGACCATCACCCAAAAATTATGATTTGTCATTTGGGAGTTGTAGTTGCTGGAATTTATAGTTCACCTACAATCAAAGAGCATTCTGAACTCCATCAACGATGGAATTGAACCAAACTTCACACAGAACTCCCATGACCAACAGAAAATATTGGAAGGATTTGGTGGGCATTGACCTTGAGTTTGGGAGTTGTAGTTCACCTACATCCAGAGAGCACTGTGGATTCAAACAATGATGGATCTGGACCAAACTTGGCACAAGCACTCAATACGCCCAAATATGAACACAGATGGAGTTTGGGGGAAATAGACCTTAACATTTGGAAATTGTAGTCACTGGGATTCACAGTTCACCTACAATCAAAGAGCATTTTGAACCCCACAAACGACAGAATCAGGACAAACTTCCCACACAGAACCCCCATGACCAACAGAAAATACTGAAGGCCACCCAATCCAACTCCCTTCATCAAGGCAAGAAAACGTAAGTCCTCCTGACAAAGAGCCATCCAACCATAGATATAGATAAATAGATAGATAGATATGATTCACACACAGAGAGATATAGTATCATAGATTTGAAAGGGACCCATAAAGAAGGACAATGATATATTGCATGTTCCAGGGTGGGCAAACCAGACACTCTCCACATCAACAAAGAAACAGCAACAAATATGTTTACCCACAAGCATAAAGAAATTACATATATTAGAAGCCAACACTTTCTCATTACTTTCTTTTCTGGATCAACAGACTGGGCCACAGCAATGCGTGGCAGGGGACAGCTAGTAGGATATAAGACTGCCGATTAGTTTGAGAACTATTTTTGTTCTTCTAGGATTTAATGTCTCTTTACTAAGAAGAGTGTGAAGGAACCAAAATTAGTTAAGCTACCTGTAGCATAGGTCAGAGGTTTGGGCAGCATGTATTCAGTTAGACTAGTGAAAGAGAACCATGAGTCTTTATATTGATTTTATGTTTTATATGGGGTGACGATTACCCTTACAGTCATGAATATTTTCACTGTAGCATCTTAAATACTGCAATACTTTGAAACTTTCAATTATAAACACCATCAGGTGTGAGTACCAGCAGCAATTTGATTTACATATAAGATTTTTCTATATCCTACTGCATGTAAAATCTACATCTATAGGCTGCAGCTATGACTGAAATTGTTAGTTGCCCAAGATTTATTATATTTATTATATAGATTTTAAAACTAGACTTCTGTCTAGATTTAAGTAGATTAAGTAGAGTCCCCTTTGGGGTTGAGATAGAGTGGGATAAAAATACAGCAAATAAATAAAATACATATAAGATAAATCCATAAAATGAATAATATTTGAAACTCTTTTTCTTTTGGAAGTAAAAATGAAGTTTTGCTAACTGCATTTGTTTTGAGGGCCAATGTGTACATTTCAATAGGAAGTTTCACTGGCATGCTATTGATTGATTTATTTTGAAAAGTACACAGCTGGGTTTCACTGAAATATTTTACATTTTCCTCCCCAAGGATTTGGTCCACTATATTCAAGAGAACTTTAAGAAGAGAGAGTGTGTCTTTTTCACTAAAGATGCCAAGTCAATGTAAGATGCCAAGTCAATTATCTCTGAACTTTTGAACTGTGTTATTTAACTTGAGCTTTAGGTCATTTTTATACAAGATTTTTAAAACCTTTGTCTGTTTGTATTATGTGTTAAGTAGGAAGAAGACAAGAAGACAATGAATAGATTTTACATACAAAATAATATAAATGTGTGTGAGAAACTGACCCCACTGTTCACTTGAAGTTACAGTTTCTGAGAATTGTTGCTTCCAAATGAAAAATATTCTCACAATGCTTACTGGAGCCCCAGGTGGCGCAGTGGGTTAAACCCCTGTGCAGGCAGGACTGAAGACCCGACAGGTCACAGGTTCGAATCCAGGGAGAGGCGGATGAGCTCCCTCTATCAGCTCCAGCTCCTCATGCGGGGACATGAGGGAAGCCTCCCACAAGGATGATAAAAACATCAATCCATCCAGTCCTTGCAGGCGGCCACATTCTTTCACACCAGAAGCGACTTGCAGTTTCTCAAGTCGTTCCTGACATGACAAAAAGCAAAACAAAACAAAACAAAACAATGTTTACTGCAAAGTAGGCAACACACTAAGTCATCCAGTTAAGGTGAATGGTAAAAATATGACATAACTAGACCAAACATTTATGTAGACCTTGTTGTTTATGTGAAGCTGTGGGAGATTCCTATAACATTTAAAGATTGACTAAATAATTCCAGAAGGAAAATGTAATAATCTTCAGTAGTGTAAAACCTTTATTTGACCAAGTCATTGTTGTAAGCTTCACGTTGGTCTAATGAGGGTATCATACTAGTATGGATTTCAAGATTTTCTTTCAACTGTTCATAGACATCATGGTCAATTATCATTGAATGTGCATTTACACTGTAGAATTAATGCAGTTTGAGATCACTTTAATTGTCATGGTTCAATGCTATACAATTTAGAGGCGTAGTTTGGTGGGGCACCAGCTCTCTTTGGAAAAGATGGCTAATGCCCTTTCAACACTACAACTTCCATGATTCCATACCATCATGATTGAACTGGTGAAAAATTGCACCCAGGTTCCTATTGAGATATGCTTCAGTAGTACAATTTTTATCTTCAATTCATGGCACTCTTGTTTTCCCTTCCAGGGTTGTTTGAAAGAGACAATTTCTTCAAATGTAGATGTAAAGACAAACCCAGAACTACATCTTTAGTCTTGGGCAAAACTTAACATGACATTTTAAAAAGGCAATACTCACAAAGCAATACTATCTGCTGTTCCTTTTCTTTTGCATGAGATCATAAACAAACTGATGTGTGCTTATGCAGAAGAAATGCTAGCAGTTTATGTGAAAATAAGCTGATCTTGTTTGAAAATTTAGATACAACTGTACTTAAAAGGCCTTTCTGGTAGAATGACAGAGCTGAGTTTAACAACACAATAATGACAATTTTAAATGATTTGTATCTTGATTTTTTTTAAAAAATAATTGGACATTATAAATGTTTCACTGTGTTATTTCTATGTTCAGCAGTGCATACATTTGTATAATAACTAAGTAAGAAATACTTCGATTGAGTATGCAGTATCTTCTATAAACTTTATCACATTAAGGTTATTATTATTAACATCAGGATTCACCACGCTTCATGGTCAATCCATGGGATCCCAACGGGGTGTGTGGAGAACCCGTCACCCCACTCCCTACATCGCCCAACTTACTCGGGACCCCATCCCACAGGAGAAAGTGTCCACCACCTGGCTTCCCCCCATTGTTGTAAGTGCAACACGGGAAGCTTTCTGTGTTGCCGCCATGGTGGTGTACCCTGCTTCTTCTCCCCTTTAGTGATGTAACCCTGCCAGAAGTATTCCTCACTGCTGTGCTCCCCTCCCATCTCAAGCCACAACTTTTACATGTTCTCTGTCCAAAATCTCAATTCTTCTTGTGGCGGTAACTTTCCTTCTTTATTTTTTTAATCCTTTTGCAATAAATTTTCTCCATACATCATCAAAATCATTTTGTTTCCATATATCTCCTTTAACTTTTAATATACATGTCAGCTTATCATTTATTATGTTAGATTTGCTATGTACTTCCCAGATATTTGATTTATTTTGGATAGCTGCTCTCTTTACTATTCCCCCACCCCAATAATCAAATCCTCACATCTGAATTTTCCCCCTATATGTGCACATCTTGATAGTGACAACCTGTGCAAATGTGGGTACTCCAAATCTCAACATATAGAAGGGACTCAGGTGAACAACAATGAAAAATGGAATTATAAGAAGCACACAAAGGAATTTCCCACAGATGCTTTTGGAGACATTGAATTTGAAAACTTAGGCAAGACAGGGAAGGTAAGTCAATTAAAGTACTTTTTCATTTTCTTTATTGTAGAAGTAAATATTGTAGTTATATGCAAAATGCTTCTAAGGTAAGATGAGAAGAATTTTGTTGGATATAGCTGGGTATAGCTATGGCGGTTAATGTGGCTTTGGAACAATACAGTAGGCTGCATCATTTGGCTATGATAAAGAATTTGCCTTTAATGAAACATGGAGGATTTTTTTTCTTAGCTGACTTTTTTCCTTTTACAGTATATCCGCCTCTCAAGTGACACTGATTCTGAAACACTCTACAATCTTATGACCCAGCACTGGCAACTGAAAACACCCAACCTCATCATTTCTGTCACAGGTGGAGCCAAAAACTTTGCTTTAAAGCCACATATGCGTAAGATTGTCAGCAGGCTCATCTACATTGCACAGTCTAAAGGTAAGCATCAGTCACTTTTCTTTTCTCTCTTACTCACGGACGTCCAGATTAAAACTCCTGGTTTATGGGATTCAAGTGGATCTTGCTCCTTAATTTCACGCTAGAGTAACAGATTTATACTATTAATTTGAGTTCATTCTAGACATTTCACATAGTGTCCAATTCAACTTTGACTAATATTTCTGAGGAAAGATCTGGCAAAACCACCCCATATTGTCCAATTGAAAACATTCTCACCTACCTCCAACAGACAAGAGTTCTTTCATAGAATCATAGAATCAAAGAGTTGGAAGAGACCTCATGGGCTATCCAGTTCAACCCCCTGCCAAGAAGCAGGAATATTGCATTCAAATCACCCCTGACAGATGGCCATCCAGCCTCTGTTTAAAGGTTTCCAAAGAAGGAGCCTCCATCACACTCCCAGAGGCAGAGAGTTCCACTGCTGAACGGCTCTCACAGTCAGGAAGTTCTTCCTCATGTTCTGATGGAATCTCCTCTCTTGTAGTTTGAAGGCATTGTTCCGCATCCTAGTCTCCAAGGAAGCAGAAAACAAGCTTGCTCCCTCCTCCCTGTGGCTTCCTCTCACATATTTATACATGGCTATCATATCCCCTCTCAGCCTTCTCTTCTTCAGGCTAAACATGCCCAGCTCCTTAAGCCGCTCCTCATAGGGCTTGTTCTCCAGACCCTTGATCATTTTAATCACCCTCCTCTAGACACATTCCAGCTTGTCAATATCTCTCTTGAGTTGTGGTGCCAAGAATTGGACACAATATTCCAGGTGGGGTCTAACCAAAGCGGAATAGAGGGGTAGCATTACTTCCCTAGATCTAGACACTGTGCTCCTATTGATGCAGGCCAAAATCCCATTGGCTTTTTTTGCCGCCACATCACATTGTTGGCTCATGTTTAACTTGTTGTCCACGAGGACTCCAAGATCTTTTTCACACGTACTGCTCTCGAGCCAGGCATTGTCCCCCATTCTCTATCTTTGCATTTCGTTTTTTCTGCCTAAGTGGAGTATCTTGCATTTGTCCCTGTTGAACTTCATTTTGTTAGTTTTGGCCCATCTCTCTGTCAAGATCATTTTGAATCCTGGATCTTCCACAGATATATATATATTTTTCCTAGTTTCCAACAAACCTCACAACCTCTGAGGATGCTTGCCACAGATGCAGGCAAAATGTCAGGAGAGAATGCTTCTAGAACATGGCCATACAGCCCGAAAAACCTACAACAACCCACCCCAAATTCCTTGCCTAAGAAAACACTATGAAATCCATAGGGCCACTTTACGTCAATAGGCGACTTGAAGGTATATACACAGAGACAGTATAAAATGCCTTCCAAAAGCACACACATAGACTAGTTGAAGTCAATTTGCATATGTCCTAATATGGACACAACACAGGCAGAGATAGAGATCAATCAGGAGTGAAAAGCTTTTGTGACCTGATCTCTAGCCCAGGCATTTGTATTAAGAGAGAAGATACTAGCAATGTACAGGAATCAAACACTAGGCAACTTCCCTCTGTGTTTTGCACACCATGAAACAATCTCTGTGTTCAAAGCTTGGCTCCTTTTTATCCTTTCAATCCACAGGGGCCTGGATATTCACTGGAGGAACTCATTACGGATTGATGAAGTACATTGGGGAAGTTGTAAGAGATAACACTATCAGCAGGAGTTCTGAAGAGAATGTGGTTGCCATTGGCATCGCTGCTTGGGGAATGGTTTCTAACCGCGAGAGTTTGATCCGAAACTGTGATGCTGAGGTACTGAACTCAAGAAACAATTAACTTTCTAGAATTATGTAAATCTCCAGACTACAAAAGGAGTGGAGATTTGCTAGCCTGCAAATTTATATTTGTTGTTGTTCATTCGTTCAGTCGTCTCCGACTCTTCGTGACCTCATGGACCAGCCCACGCCAGAGCTCCCTGTCGGCCGTTACCACCCCCAGCTCCCTCAAGGTCAAGCCAGTCACTTCAAGGATGCCATCCATTCCTCTTGCCCTTGGTCGGCCCCTCTTCCTTTTGCCTTCCACTTTCCCCAGCATAATTGTCTTCTCTAGGCTTTCCTGTCTCCTCATGATGTGGCCAAAGTACTTCAACTTTGTCTCTAGTATCTTTCCCTCCAGTGAGCAGTCGGGCTTTATTTCCTGGAGGATGGACTGGTTGGTTCTTCTCGCAGTCCAAGGCACTCTCAGAACTTTCCTCCAACACCACAGCTCAAAAGCATCGATCTTCCTTCGCTCAGCCTTCCCTAAGGTCCAGCTCTCACATCCGTAGGTTACTACAGGGAATACCATGGCTTTGACTAGGCGGATCTTTGTTGCCAGTCTGATGTCTCTACTCTTTACCATTTTATCGAGATTGGACATTGCTCTCCTCCCAAGAAGTAAGCGTCTTCTGATTTCCTGGCCACAGTCTGCATCTGCAGTAATCTTTGCACCTAGAAATACAAAGTCTGTCACGGCCTCCACGTTTTCTCCCTCTATTTTCCAGTTGTCAATCATTCTTGTTGCCATAATCTTTGGTTTTTTTGATGTTTAGCTGCAACCCAGCTTTTGCGCTTTCTTCTTTCACCTTGATTAGAAGGCTCCTCAGCTCCTCCTCGCTTTCGGCCATCAGAGTGGTGTCATCTGCATATCTGAGGTTGTTAATGTTTCTTCGAGCAATTTTCACCCCAGCTTTGCATTCATCCAGCCCCGCACATCGCATGATGTGTTCTGCATACAAGTTAAAAAGGTTGGGTGAGAGGATGCAGCCTTGCCGTACGCCTTTCCCAATCTTGAACCAGTCTGTTGTTCCATGGTCAGTTCTGACTATTGCTACTTGGTCCTTGTACAGATTCCTCAGGAGAGAGACAAGGTGGCTTGGGATGCCCATCCCACCAAGAACTTGCCACAATTTATTATGATCCACACAGTCAAAGGCTTTAGAATAGTCAATGAAGCAGAAATAGATGTTTTTCTGAAACTCCCTGCCTTTCTCCATTATCCAGCAGATATTGGCAATTTGGTCTCTCGTTCCTCTGCCTTTTCTAAACCCAGCTTGAACATCTGGCAACTCTCGCTCCATGTATTGCTGGAGTCTTCCTTGCAGGATCTTGAGCATTACCTTACTGGCATGAGAAATAAGGGCCACTGTACGGAAGTTTGAGCAGTCTTTCGCATTTCCCTTTTTTGGTATGGGGATATAAGTGATTTTTTCCAGTCTGATGGCCATTCTTGTGTTTTCCATATTTGCTGGCAAATGGCATGCATCACCTTGACAGCATCATCTTTTAAGATTTTAAACAGTTCAGCTGGGATCCCGTCATCTCCTGCTGCCTTGTTGTTAGCAATGCTTCTTAAGGCCCATTCAACCTCACTCCTCAGGATGTCTGGTTCTAATTCATTCACCACACCGTCAAACTATCCTCAATATTATTATCCTTCCTATACAGATCTTCTGTATAGTCTCTCCCATGGCATACCGACATATCTCTGGTTGTACTGGTCCATTTAGTTTTCTTGGCAAGGATACTGGAGTGGTTTGCCATTGCCTTCCCCAGGGATCACGCTTGGTCTGACCTCTCTGCCACAACCGTCCCGTCTTGGGTGTCCCTTCACGGTGTCGCTCATGACATCATTGAGGTGCTCAAGCTCCAGCGCCCCGACAAGGCGGTGATCCTTTGCTGGAGTGATATTGCTGTGTTGTCCAATTAATCAGAAAAGATGAAAATGAAACTTTGATTTCCTTTGTATTTGATTGCCACTTAATCTTTTTCCAGGATTTTATTCCTTCTCTCGTTTAAACATGAAAGTAAAACAAGGCAGTGAAAAGTGGTTGGGGGTAGGGAGGTTAATTACATACCTGTTTAGAGAGACATGCAAACTAGCAACTCTTGGGTAAGATTGCTACCCCTGGCATTCCTGAAGCATTCTTTACCTTTTTAAAATTGATGATGAAATGACGACTGCCTCATTTTCAATGTGATCTGATGGATTTTCTACCACATGGGGTTTGGGAAACATTGAACTTGTTAATTGATACGGTAATGAACAAGGAAACATGGGGGAGGGGTACATGTTCACATGCAGATGTATCAACGTTTAACAAAATGAACAACAAAAGAGGAGAAGAGAGACTTGTACACTCAAGGTGGTGACAATGACTTTAGGTGACAATTTTAAAAAGAGGGTGGAAGAGTACAGAAGAGTTACTTAGAATTTTTTAGGATTCTAAAAGTAGAGAAAAAAATGATTTCTTAAAGCATGCAGAAAATGTGTTTATTTTTAATATATATATTGTATGTCATTTCTAGACATATTACTCAGCACATTACATCATGGATGACCTCAAGAGGGACCCACTGTATTGTCTGGATAATAACCATACACATCTAATTCTGGTTGATAATGGCACACATGGATACCCAGCTACAGAAGCCAAGCTTCGAACCCAGTTAGAAAAATATGTATCAGAACGCATTATTCCAGGTTCGTTTCTTTCCCTGGGATTGTGATACTCTTCTGAAATAAATATTGTGCTCAATGATGGACTTTTGAAACTAGTTTTACTGTAAAATGCCTTGGGGGAGGTTATGCTTACAAGATAATAGGCAAGCAAACCAATGGAAGGACCTTATTGCACAGAAATCGCAAACTAGTATAGAAGCAGGACTTTTACCTGTGATATGGTCCCTATTTCACAATGCTGTGCACAATACTATGCTACATTTGATGCCAGCCTGACATCCATCCATGCTGATGACATTTGACAGATAAAACCTGATAATATCTTGGAAATATCATAATTGCCAGGTGAAACAATTTAAAATTGTATCACAATCTAATAGTGAAGCAGAGAGTCAAGCTATCAAAGATAGGTAGTCAGTATGAAGAAATCCAAATGAAAATTAACAGGAATTGAAACAGAAGAATGAGAGGAAATGTGAAGGAAGGCAGGGTGTCTTAGTCTGTCACAGATAATTCAGTGAAACCTATTGGCAGATAAAACCTGTCATAGCCCCTGACCATGCCGTGGTGCCACAGCCTACCTGGTGCAATGATCCTTGGTGCTTCTGTGGCAGTGTGCTAATGGTTTTTAAAATTTCAGCTGATGGAATTGCAAAATTTCCTTTAACAAAATGAAAAGGAAAAGAAAGGTGGGAAAATGGCACAGGGGTAAGCTGCAGCCAGGGGCGCAAAGTAACCGCAAAGTAAGCGGTTGCGGTACACTTTTTTTGCCAGGGGCGCAGAGGCGCCTCTGTAAATGCCCCTCGAATGCCACTTGAGGAACACCCCCTCGGCTCACAACAGCCCTAGCAGTCTGGGAGAAGCCTTGGCTTCCTTGCCTCACTGCTGGGCGATCCTCTTCCCAAAGGGGCCAGGCCCTTGAACCTCGCCTAGGCCCTCACGTTCCTGCTCCATATCAATGATTGGTTGGGGGGGGGGCACCAAAATACTGTTTGCTTACCATTGAAAATTACCTAGGGCTGCCTCTGGCTACAGTCAAGCTGCTCACTCCCTAAGATCCTGAACTTTCAACAGTGCAGTTATTCAAGGCCGGCAGCGGTGCAGGGATGACCTTCACTATTCTAGTAAGTTGCTGCTATACCTGGTTGCAGGGATGCTGTGGGATAGCAGCTTCATGTGGTAATTTCTTAAGGGAAGATGACAAAGAATAAACAAAGCTAGAATTGAGTAGGCTAGCAACTGAATTAGGTTTCAAAGAATAACTGTAGAAGAATTTCTTTCTTAAATAGCATGAAATACAATCTAGTCTGTAAATACAAAAAAGACAAATTAATAATAGTTAATCTACAAGGCTTAATATACACTGTGTTTTGTCAAAAAGGAGACCAAATGTTCAAGTTCAAATTCAGACTACTAGGTCTTCTGGACCTCTAGGTCTTTTGGACTACTAGGTCTTCTGGACTACTAGGTCTTCTGGACCCATAGACACCTACGGATGAGAGAGCTGGACCATAGGGAAGACTGAGCGAAGGAAGAGAGATGCTTTTGAACTGTGGTGCTGGAGGAAAGTGCTGAGAGTGCCTTGGACAGCAAGAAGAGCCAACCAGTCCATACTTTAAGAAATAAAGCCTGACTGCTCATTGGAGGGAAGAATAGTAGAGGCCAAGATGAAGTACTTTGGCCACATCATGAGAAGAAAGGAAAGCTTAGAGAAGACAATTATGCTGGGGAAAATGGAAGGAAAAAGGAAGAGGGGCCGACCAAGGACAAGATGGATAGTATCCTTGAAATGACTGGATTGACCTTGAAGGAGCTGGGGGTGGTGACGACCGACAGGGAGCTCTGGCCTGGACTGGTCCATGAATTCACGAAGAGTCAGAAACGAGTGAACGAATGAACAACAGGTCTTCAGGATGCTAAGCAAAAAAAGCAAAGCAACCTTAAAACAGAAAAGGAATGGGAAGGAGAACAGGTTGGGCATAGTGGAAAGTCCTTACATTTGCCACAAATGTTCTAATGGACTGCAGGAGGTTGATGGTTTTCAGAAAATGCTGTTTATTACAGCCACAACTGATGAAATTGCTATGTCAGTAAGAAGAGCCAAATGAATGAAAGTAGCACTGCCATATGGTGAAGCAGCCACATAATTCTCCAGATGCCTGGATTTACAAATTGCAGTTTTCTTGTATGAAAATAGTATCTGTGTTGATACTCCATTAATTTTCTGTTTCTCTAAAAACACTATGTGAAAAAAATTGTATGTGTCAATCAGGCCAGCTGAGCAGCATATGGCAAAAGCATATGTATTAGAAACTGTGTGTGTGTGCTGGCATCTACTAGTATCTTTTTTTGTCTTGAAAATTTCTTCCAATTCCCAATAGCTCTCTTTTGATTTGAATGATTGCACATGGCAGAAATAATATAGTGTCATACACACCCCTGAAAGAAGAGTTATCATGAGGACAGATCAAAAGATAAGATGGCACCCCTTTTCCATATTCTGTGTACAGATGTTTGCTGAATACACAGGTATTATTGCCCAATGGTCAAGCTAGGCCTGACCGAATGCCTCTCTAGGAACTCCCCACTAATGTCAACAGCCCTTTGGTGGTCATTATTATAGGGATCCAATAGATGTGATCGCAAAACATTTCTTCTCTAGTGGGAACAATAATAGCAACAGAAAAATTCTTCGAATGATTGTTTTCTTCAGATTAACAAGCATTCATCAAGACAACATTTGGAGGCAGAGATCATGAAAACAAGAATCCAAATAAATATCGTATTTATTTGCTCATATACCTTCACTCTTTGCATTTAAAGTCATATTAAGGTTGACTGGCTTTAATGTTAATAAGGTACTGTACTAAGAATGAGGTATAGTATCAATATTAACAAAATACAGTGAAAAGAGATTTGTAATGTTTCTATATCATCACACACTTTTGTTCATTGTGACATTTGTATTTCAGATTCTAATTACGGAGGGAAGATTCCAATTGTGTGTTTTGTCCAGGGAGGAGGGAAAGAAACTTTGAAAGTAAGTCTGTTTCCCTCACCTTGTAAATCTCTGCCTCCGTCCCAATTGCTTAGAGATAGGTAACAATGTTTGTTTTTGTGGTTTTATTGTAAAAAGGAATGCTATGTTGCACTCAGCATTTTTGTTGGATTGTTTTTTCTCATATGCTCAAGCAAGGAAGAGGTAGCAAACAAAACAAAATAATAATAATAATAATAATAATAATAATAATAATCTTTATTTGTATCCCGCCACCATCTCCCCAATGGGGACTCGGAGCGGCTTACATGAGGCCAAGCCCAAACAATAATTACATAAAATAAAACCGAATAATAAACAACAACAACGTAATTACATAAAACAAATGAAAACATAGCAATATAAAATTACAATAGGCACAATCACAATGACAATGGGCGAGCTACATGTAGTGGATAAAAGAAAGGCTGATTAAAAGCTGATTAAAAACTCAGGCAAGATAAGACAGAAACAGATTATTTGCGGAGGAGAGCGCATTATAGTAGAGGTCGTGGAACCAAGCTTTCCCACAAGGGGGGGGGGGGATGTACTCCAATGACAAAAAACGTTGAGGCTGAACACTAGTGTGAGGATGTAAATCTATTCATCAAATGCACAGCGATTTTAAGGTTCTTTTTAAAGGTTTCTAGGGTAGCGGCTTTCCTAATCTCTCCAGGAAGTGAGTTCCAGAGTTGGGGAGCCGCAGAGGAAAAAGCTCTCTGCCTCATACTCACCAGGCGAGCCTGCGAGACTGGCAGGGGTGAAAGAAGGGCCTCCCCAAAAGAACGGAGGGCCCAAGTTGGTTCATGGAGGGAGATACGGTCACGAAGGTAGGCGGGTCCCAAACCGTTTAGGGCTTTATAGGTGGTAACCTGCACCTTGAATTGGGGCCGGAAAATAAACGGCAGCCAGTGGAGCTCCTTGAACAGTGGGGTTGACCGCTCCCTGTAAGCTGCCCCAGTTATTAGTCTGGATGCTGAGCGTTGGACAAGTTGTAATTTCCAGGCTGTTTTCAAGGGTAGCCCCACGTAGAGAGCATTGCAGTAATCCAGCCTAGAGGTAACTAAGGCATGGACCACCATGGTCAAGTCAGACTTCACAAGGTAAGGTCGCAGTTGGCACACAAGTTTTAATTGCGCAAAGGCCCTCCCGGCCACTGCCGACACCTGCGCATCAAGCGTCAGCGCTGAGTCCAGGAGGACCCCCAAACTGTGGACCTCCTCCTCAACACTCCTCAGGATAAGAAACCTTTTAATTTCCAACATGTAATGTAAAAATCTCCCTGTTTTGTTCTAGAAAGGAGACATTTTGGCCATGGGTGCTGCCCTCAGCTAATGGAATGCACTTTTCCCACCCCAATTATCACTTACCTCTAGCATTTCTTCTTGTGAGTTCGTACTTTTTTAAAAGCCAAGTAACTTTTTGAAGCATCACCACTTGTGGCATAATGGTATGCTAAACACTACTTTTGGTGTCAGTTAAGACTCATTGATTTCTAAAGAGTTTATCTTGAACTGAAAACAACAGAAATTTGCACTTCAGAGCGAACTTACTATGACAGTGGTTCTCAACCTTCCTAATGCCATGACCTCTTAATACAGTTCCTCATGTTGTGGTGACCCCAACCATAAATTATTTCTTTGCTACTTCATAACTGTAATTTTGCTACTGTTATGAATTGTAATGTAAATATCTGATATGCAGGATGTATTTCCATTCACTGGACCAAATTTGGCACAAATACTCAATACGCCCAAATTTGAATACTAGTGGGGTTGGGGGCGGGGGAGGATTAATTTTATCATTTGGGAATTATAGTCACTGGGATTTATAATTCATCTACAAACAAAGAGCATTCTGAACTCTACCAATGATGGAATTGAACCAAACTTGGCATACAGAATTCTCATGATGAACAGAAAATACTGGAAGGCTTTTTTGTTCTTTGGTGGGCCAATGAGTTTTGGAGTTGTAGTTCACCTACATCCAGAGAGCACTGTGGACTCAAACAATGATGGATCTAGGCCAAACTTGGCACAAATTCTCAATATACTAAAATGTGAACACTGGTGGAGTTTGGGGAAAAATAGACTTGACATTTGGGAGTTGTAGTTGCTTGGATTTATAGTTCACCTACAATCAAAGAACATTCTGAACCCCACCACTCATAGAATTCTTCTCACTTCTCACACAGAATCCCCATGACCAACAGAAAATACTGTGTTTTCTTATGGTCTTTTGGTGACCCCTCTGACACCCCCTTGCAATCCCCCCAGGAGGCAGTACTATGGAGTCAGTCCTGCAGTGGAACTCATTTCTGGTTAAACACATATGGCTATTTGCTTTGGTGTTAATCACTATTTTAAATGGAAGTTTCACTGTTTTACATTGTCATAAAGCAGAAAACAAGATCATAAAGCTAATTTCTTGTGCTAGAATACCCAATACCTTATATAAATATTCCCTTGCAGATTTATTTTTAAATATGTAAAATTAATTTATTTGGTAAAATTTCAGGATTAAACATTTTAAGTTTGTATCAGTTTTATTTTAACAAGTTTTCCGAAACATTTATTTTGTACAGTCATAATTATTTATGGACTTTAGTATATAAATATCAGCAGTAGCATAAAGATATGTCAAAATCTAAAATGAAGGCAAAGTTCTTGATGTTATGAGTTGGTCACAGTCTTGTCTTATTAAATTAAATTAAATCAGATTATGTTATTAGATCATTAATCTAGAGTAAACGTTACTAGTTTCACAGTCTGGCATTTATGGCAGTCTTCTTTCTCCTGTCTTTCTTTACTGAATATTTGAGTTTCATTTGTATAAACGCTATAACTATAACAGAATTTGTGCAAAAAGCATGCCCAAATATTATTGCTTAATAGATCTTAACATATACATGTGATAGATTCTATAGAGACCCTTTTTTCTTGTTTGAATTTGTTTTTCGTTGATTATGTTCCATAAAGTGACATAAATATATTTAGATTTCTTATATGCTTTACAACCTCCATATCAGTGGAACTGATATGCATGGCTTCATTTATTCATGGTTTCCATTGCTTCAGTCGCTAAGTTACAAAAAAAAAATCCAAATTACAAATGACTCATGGTTAAGAACGGAGGTGAGAGAATCTATTCCTAGGAAGGGAAATTCACCCCTTAAAGAGAAATTCACCCCTTATTATGGGAAAAGCTGTCTCCACTGAAACTTTATCACCAATGCTTGTTTCCACAACAAGTCAAATCTTGTTGTTAAACCTTCCCTTATTTAGCTTTGGATAGTATAGGGATGTTAAGCCTCCCCTATAATATCAAAAGCTAATATATATATATGTGTGTGTGTGTGTGTGTGTGTCCAGAGTTACCCTTAAAATGTGCCTGTTCTTGGCTCTTGGACAAACCTACATCATCCATCGTGTTTGTAACTTGTCTGTATTCACATAGTCCTCCTAGGGGTTGAGAAGGGTGGGGTAAAAATGTTCAAAATAAATAAATAGGGCTTCTTATACAAGTTACATCTTCTTCTGTCCTTTGTCCTATTGAAAATAATGGGGTTCACTATTATCTGCAGTTTCACATATACACGTGATGTCTGGGAACACACCCACAGCAGATATAGGGATCAATTCAGGAAGTGCTATGGTTTTTAACTTTGAATATATTTTAATGGTTTTTAACTGAGAATTTTTAAAATACTGTTTATATTTAATCCTGTTTTAATGTTTGCATATTGTATATTTTAAATTGTATGCTAATGCTTTTATACTGAGCTGCATTGAGTCTCCTTCAGGAGAGAGAAATAATAGTAATAGTAATAGTAATAGTAATAATAATAATAATAATAATAATAATAATAGTGTAGTACTTAATCAAACATGCTACTGTACCATCTGTAGCTAGGTTACAGGCTCAGGATGGAGATCAGGATGCATTCAGAATGCTTCCAGTTGCACAAAGACATGATGGCTTCATCCCAAAGAAGTCCAAAGACCATCATCATTACTATTTGTAGTTTAATTGTGGAACCTTTCCCTTCCCAGCCTCAGCAAACATTGTTTCCCCGGAAGTAGTTACTTCCTATTTTAATGAGCTCTTGTGAGCAGAAAGGGGTGGTGTAGATACAGAAGATGGACTCCAGAATTCCACCATTGAAGAACTTTCACTAACTTTTCCACCCCACTGTTCACCAATTAGAAACTGTAAGAATGACAACAATGTGTATACTTCGAACTAATGTAATTCAGAATAATAACATGTATTTTGTAGGTTTTTTGGGCTATATGGCCATGTTCTAGAGGCATTCTCTCCTGACGTTTCGCCTGCATCTATGGCAAGCATCCTCAGAGGTAGTGAGGTCTGTTGGACTAGGAAAATGAGTTTATATATCTGTGGAATGACCAGGGTGGGACAAAGAACTCTTGTCTGTTGGAGCTAGGTGTGAATGTTTCAACTGACCACCTTGATTAGCATTTGATGGCCTGGCAATGTCTGGGGCAATCTTTTGTTGAGAGGTAATTAGATGTCCTTCATTTCCTCTTTGTTGTTTTGCTGTTGTAATTTTAGAGTTTTTTAATACTGGTAGCCAGATTTTGTTCATTTTCATGGTTTCCTCCTTTCTGTTGAAATTGTCCACATGCTTGTGGACAATTTCTTCTCTGTGGACAATGGCTTCTCTGTGTAGTCTGACATGATAGTTGTGAGAGTGGTCCAGCATTTCTGTGTTCTCAAATAATATGCTGTGTCTAGGTTGGTTCATCAGGTGCTCTGCTATGGCTGACTTAGAATAATAGAATCACAGAGTTGGAAGAGACCTCATGGGCCATCCAGTCTAACCCCCTGCCAAGAAGCAGGAATATTGCATTCAAATCACCCCTGACAGATGGCCATTCAGCCTCTGTTTAAAAGCTTCCAAAGAGGGAACCTCCACCACACTCCGGGGCAGAGAGTTCCACTGCTGAACGGCTCTCACAGTCAGGAAGTTCTTTCTCAAGAATCTCCTCTCTTGTAGTTTGAAGCCATTGTTTCGCGTCCTAGTCTCAAGGGAAGCAGAAAACAAGCTTGCTCCCTCCTCCCTGTGGCTTCCTCTCACATATTTATACATGGCTATCATATCTGGTTGAAGTAGTCTGCAGTGCCTTTCATGTTCCTTGATTCGTGTTTGGGCAAAGCTGCATTTGGTGGTCCCTATGTAGACTTGTCCACAGCTGCAAGGGATACGGCAGACTCCTGCAGAAGTGAAAGGATCCCTCTTGTCCTTTGCTGAACATAGCATTTCTTGGTGGGTCTGTAGATATTTTTGTGTTGTGCTTCCTCATCAGCTTCCCTATGTGGTCAGTGGTTCCCTTGATGTATGGCAAGAACACTTTTCATCCAGGTGGATCTTTGTCTTGACTCTCGTGGCTTGTTCTCGGTCTTGCAGCTCTTCTGATGTCTGAGGTGGAGTATCCATTGGCCATTGTATCCATTGGCCTTTGACAATACATTAACATGTATTGTTTACATGTATTGTTTACAAATTGTTACAAATGTCTGTGAATATGAGGCATGTGCGATCTGGGAACTATAAATCAATCTCAGATTCTGATCTCAAACTCTGCATGTCTCTATTGGATCCATCAGAGCTTAGCACTCCAGGCTGAACCCCAAGATTTTGGACATCACAGTGCCAATGGATTGTGTATGTAATGATCTGCAACTCCTAGCTAGATGTGTAGCTAGATGTGTAGCTAGATGTGTGAGTTTCCCACAATAGTTAGCTTAAAACAATTAAATGGCTGCTCATTGAGGATCATTGATGTGTATAGTGGCTGGAATGAGGTGAGTTTTGTAATGCCCCCCCCTTACAAATTCAGGTTTGGTGCTAGAAGAAACAAAACTTTGGAACCACCCTTGAACTTAACATAAGGGCTAATGCATTGAGCAATGCAGATCCTTTCTTCAGCCTTCTTTCTTGCTTTTTCTACAGGCAATTAACACTGCAGTGAAGAGCAAAATTCCCTGTGTGGTGGTGGAAGGTTCAGGACAGATTGCTGATGTGATCGCCAGTTTAGCAGATGCAGAAGGCACGCTCACCTCCTCCTCTGTCAAAGAAAGATTGCTCCGATATCTGCCACGCACTCTTTCTAGGCTCACTGAAGACGAGATTGAAAGTTGGATCAAATGGGTGAGTGAGTGTGCAACCTCCTAGGCTGCGTAATAGGAATCCCAGGTGACATTTCACATGGTAGATGAAGTATTTTCAGAATTGTTTGCTTGTCGGGATGGATTGTTCGTCTAGGTGGCTGCTGGGGAAGTATCTCACCTTTTGCTAAGGTTACATCTACACTGTAGAATGAATGCAGTTCGATGCCATTTTACCTGCCATGACCCAAATCCTGAGATTTGGGCCTGGAATCCTGAGATTTATAGTTTGGTGAGACACTATCACTCTTGGCATAGAAAGTGAAAGACGTTATGAAGCTGCAACTCCCCGAGCCTTGGCAATTAAAGTGGTGTTAAATTGCATTCCTTCTATACTTTAAATGCACCCCCAGTCTGATTAAAAGCCCAGAAAACTCCAGGTTTTGTTCCTGTTCTTTCTGATTTTATTTTACATACTTTGTTTCTTCCACAATATTTTCTATCAGTTCCTCATGGAATCAGTTATCTAAAGGGGCTTAACTAATCCAGTATAAAATAGGAAAGAACAAGAATCAAATCTGGAATTTTTCAATCAGTCTGGATGTTCTGTCTGTAAGTCAATAGTAATGGAAGTTCTATTGATTCAGTGGGTCTACGTGGAACCAACAATAGGATTCAGGGCAATGAATGCAATAAAAACAAGCTATAGTAGAAGGACACCATCAAACTCTTGTTCTGGCTCTTTTTTCAGAGCAGTCCCAGAAATGCTCATACAGTATATAAAACAACATAACAATAAATGTCAATGACATCAATGGATAGAGGTATAAGAGCACTATGACAAGCCATCCACTGGGCATTTTGGAATGCTGTAGCTTTCAGTATAACTTTATTTCCCTGTAGAATTTCAGTTTTGTTTAGTTTTTTTTTCCTTTTCTTTCTGTCAGTGTCACCCTTTACAGGAGCCACAAGGGAACAGCATATATGATCTATACTCTCTTGAATTATTTGTTTAGATTGTTCCCTTAAGCAATATTGACCAAGCAATCCTTACAATATGTCCTATAACATTGATTGAGATGTAGATAAATGGGCTTGGGATCACAAGCAAGGATACATGTGCATGCATGTATTGAATATCATGCCTTTCTTTCTAAAGCAGACCAGGGAAGTGCACAATAATGTAATAAAATATAATATTCATAGTAATCAAACATCTGGTTCTCAATCAGAAGTAGTAAATGTAACATAACACAAACAATGGTAAAGCCCCAGAGCCAGATTACCTTCCCATAGCATTCCCAAATGCTTTCTTGCCTGTGTGGCTTCTTTGATGGTAAAAAATCTTTGAAACATTGGCTGTTTCTATACTTAGAGCATGGATGCAACTTCTCTACTGTGGGAACTCTTTCATGTAGGTTTTGACTCTCAAAACCATGGTTCACCTCCCCACGTGGCCATGGAAACCCATGAAAGTATTGCCTTAGGTTACCATTAAGTTGAAAAGGTACACATAACAATAATAACAACATATGAATTCATGGTCATCTCAGCCTTCTTTTCTGTAGGCTAAACATGCCGGGCTCTTTAAGCCGCTCATCATAGGGCTTGTTCTCCATACCCCTGATCATTTTGGCCCCCTCTGGACATATTCCAGATTGTCAACATCTCCCTTCAATTGTGGTGCCCAGAATTGGGCACAGTATTCCAGGTGTGGTCTGACCAAGGCAGAACAGAGGGGTAGCATGACCACCCTGGATCTAGACATCTATTTATTTATGCAGGCCAAAGTCTCATTGGCTTTTTAAGCTGCCACATGACATTGTTGGCTTATGTTAAACTTGTTGTCCACATTGTTGAATTACAATTGTAATGCAATATAGTTGCACCTTAGTTATTGTGGAAATACATCAATTACATGTAACCGATTTATTTGCAACTATTTACTGCTGAACCCTGATTTGTAGCTGCCACAGAAATCGTGTAGCATAGTAATTGAGAGATAGTGTCACAACTTCTGCCATTAATTCATTTGTTAGCCAGCTCCATAGAATCAATCAGGAAATATGTGGAGGAAAATTGGGTGAGTAGGCTGGAGGAGAAAGATAAAGAACTATTGGAACAACCTATTAAGAAGACGGAAATAGAGGAAGTTATTCAGAATTAAAAAGCTGGGAAAGCTCCAGGTCTGGACAGACTGGGAACAGAATATTATAAAAGTTTTACAGAAGTATTGATTCCAAAACGATTAGAACTGTATAACAGAATAATGAAAGGAGAGAAGATACCAGAATCATGGAGGAAGTTATTAATAATACTAATGCCAAAACCTGACAAAGATTTAACAGACTTAGGGTCATATCATTAGATGATCAGGATGCAAAGGTTCTATTTGCTATAATAGCCAATGGAATGAATAAATGCATGCACAAGTATATAAAAAAAGATCAGTGTGGGTTTGTAAAAGGAAGACAAATGTCAAATTTGATAGGGAGAGTATTAAATAAAATCTGTGTGGTTTGAGAGAGAAAGATAAAAGCAGGGATACTATCATTAGATATATTTAAAGCTTTTGATTGTGTGGAATGGTGGACATTAAGGGAGATTATGAACACATTTGGAATGGGAAGTAGAATAAAAGGATTATTAGAACAATAGTATTCAAGAAATTCAGCAATAGTAAAGATTAATGATGGGGTGACAAAAGAAATAAAAGTGACAAGGGGAACAAGACAAGGATGACCTCTATTGCCAATTTTGTTTGCTATGGTGATTGAATTATTTGCAAATGCCATTAGGAAACATAAGAAGAGGTAGAAATAAAGGAAAAGGAGAAGGTGAGCTTCTTTGTCGATGATACATTGTTATTTATTGAAAATATGGTAGGTAAAGTGGATAAGATAAAGGATCATTTAGAGCAGTGGTTCTCAACCTGTGGGTCCCCAGATGTTTTGGCCTTCAACTCCCAGAAATCCTAATCATTGGTAAACTGGCTGGGATTTCTGGGAGCTGTAGGCCAAAACACCTGGGGACCCACAGGTTGAGAACCACTGATTTAGAGATATTTAGGAAAACAACAGGTTTACAAGTAAATTGGAATAAATCAGAAACAATGATATTAATTATACAAAGAAAGAAGAAAAAGACTTTATAGAACAGAGTAATATGGAAATTAGAATTAAGAACAAATTAAAACACCTGGAAGTAATTATAACAAAGGATTTAAAAGAAATAGAAGAGGTAAATGTAGTATCATTGAGGAAAGTAGTTCAAAAAAAATTAATAGAATATAGAAATATACTTTTATCTTGGTTTGGAAATATAGCATCAGTGAAAATGCAAATACTTCTGAGGATAAATTTCATATTTAGAATGCTGCCACTTCAGATTACAGGAGAACAGCTAAATAGATGGCAATAAATGATAAATAAATACTGTAATGGTAGAAAAAGAAGAAGAAGAAGGGTGAGCACTTACTTACTTATTTTATTACTTTATAATAGAAAATATTATGAAGCAAACAGCCTGAGACTGGTTATAGAAGGAATGATAAAAAGGAGAGTGTTGAATGGCTAAAAATGGATTCTGAAAAAGCGGAGGAAGAAATCTGATTTTTTTAAAGAGTTTACGAGCAAAGAATTATGGAAATTAGTAACCCAATGTTGAGTGATGTATTTAGAAGTGTGGAACAAATACAGGAGAAAGTTAATAGTGGATGTTTCATCAATAACCCCACTTATAATAGAAAAGAACCCCCCCCCTAAATTAAAAAAATATAATGGAAAAAAGTTAAGTGAAAAAATAGACAAAATAGGGGATTGGATAAAGGTTGGAATGAAGAAATAAATGATTTTGGACATGGTTCCATTGCATACAATTAGAACAATGATTCAAAATTGGATAAAAAATAATAAAAATGGAAGCAAGCTTAATCAAGTAGAACAAATAATACAAAATGGAAGGGATATAGAGGAACATAAAATTTGAAAGGAATAACCAGTAAAGTATATAAGATAATAATTGAAATAAACTAAGGAAAAATAAAGAATAACACCCTCAAGGAGATCTGGAAAGAAGATTTAGGGATGAAAATAAATGAAGTGGAGAGGTTACAATTATGAGGACAAAGACATTTGAAAAATGTATCAATACGGGTTAAAGAAAATTAAGTTATTATGGAAATGGTATCTAACACCAACAGGAATAGCAAATATAAATAAAAACTATTCAAAAATTGCTGGAGAGGATGACAAGAATCGGGAACATATATAATTATGTGGTGGCAATGTAAATGTGTAAGTAATTTTGGGGGGAAAGTATTTAGAGAAATAGAGGATATAGTGAACATTAAAACAGAAAGAAGTCCTAGTAAAGCTTTATTATTATTATTATTATTATTTAATAATAATAATAATAATAATAATAATAATAAATAACTGAAGAAAGCAGATAAAATGTGATAACAAACTTATTACTAATAGCAAAACTACTTATAGCAAGGAATTGGAAAAGAAAAATAAGTATACAAATAGAGCTGTGGCTCGGAGGGAGGGGAGCACGGTGGTGAGGGATTGAAAATATGTATAAGCATAAAAATAACAGCAGATGCCAAAAGTTATTGAATGGTGGATTGTATTTAATATTATGCGTCTGCTGTAAAATAAACAATATATAACAAGTATATTGAATTATACTGCAACAGATATATATATCTATATATCTGCTGCAGTATAAATCTGCTGCAGTATGGTGAGTAAAACAGGTTGAATATCCCTTACCCATAATTTTAAAATCCAATTATTGATGTGGGTTGCTTTCTGATTGTTCAGTGTACACAAACTTTGTTTCATGTACAAAATTATTTAAATATTCTATATCAAATAGCCTTCAGGCTATGTGTACAAGGTGTATATGAAGCATGAATGAATTTCGTGTTTAGGTTTGATCTCAACTCCAAGATACGTCATTATGTATATGCAAGTATTAAAAAATCTGAAATCTGGAACATGTCTGATCTTAAGCATTTTGGATAGGGATACTCAACCTGTTTATGATTGCAACTGGATAAAGCATGTGAGGCCCTTTGAAACATGCACACAACTATTCTAATAGCAGTGGTAGTAGTGGTTGCCTTCTCTGTGTGCCAGAGAAGCAACATAGTTTTGGGCAGAGGGTAGTCCTGCAACTGGAACTGGGAGGCTTCTGCTCTTTAGAGAATATCAATACCTGCTTCCAAGGTCCTCAGTTTTAAAGATGAATTTTAAACTTCCGTTCTATGTCTAACATTGTTTTGTGTATTTTAATATGTATTTTATGAAGATATGTTTTAACATGTGTATTTTATGAAGTGTTTTTAAATGATTATGTGTTTTAGCAATGTTGTAACCCGCCTCGAGGAGAGGCAGGTAAGAAATAATAAGAATAATAAGAATAATAAGAATAGTTGTTGTTGTTGTTGCTGTTGCTATTGTTGAAGAACTCACTCCAACATTTCCTATCCAGAGGAGGGCTACTGTGACTCTTCTCTAGGGGAGTGCAAGGCAATTTTATTGGGGCCATTTGGTTTTTTGAAGAGCAGGAAATGGATCTGCGGAGGCCTCCATTTGATCAATTTCAAATTTCTCTCTCTCTAAAGCAGTAGGAAAAACTGAGCACATGGAAAATGACAATGTTCTGTTTTTAGAAGAGCACCAAAGGCCAGTGAAGGAGTCATTTATTTTGGGGAAATGACTTTGTCAATTAATGGCCTGGGGCTTCATCAGCAGCATGTCTCCTTTTTGGTCCATTACTTTAATGTCTGTAATCATCATAGAGGGCAGCAAGGGTTTGTCTCAGAGATGCTGCTTAGTGCTGCTAATGAGGTTTTGTAACATTTTGTGCTTACAATTTTGTCCAGTTGGTATAGATTTTTAAAAGCTTCCTTACAGTTTGTTCCTTCACAGATAATCTACACATTAGACTCACGCCCACCAGAAATGTTTACCTTGATCTTTTGTAATAGTCATTAGTCCAAATGTCCATTGTCTGCCTGTTATTCCCGGAAATGCTACAATTACAAGAAGGGCCAGGAAGGGGACTGTATGCAATTGTGGTATCTATAGATGTAGTACATTTCCCATTTGCATTTGTGTGGTTTTTTTCTTTTATCAATAGCAGGCAGGTGTGATCTAAGTGGTATTTTGTTGGACATTAATTTCATGAAGCTGAACAAAAGAGAATAGCTGAGGCTGGGAACAGGAAAAGGAAATGCACATGCACAGATTTAATAAGGGCCAACTTATTGTTGTGAGCACTAAGAAAATGGCACAGACCAGGGATGAACATCTCATGCCCTATGAGCTGTATATATACTTCCTCTATCCCCTGGACATTTCTGCAGCCCTCATTTGGGGGAATAGGAAAGGAGAAATGGTAATAACATACCCTTCAACCATCCCAATATGCCAAGGACAGTCCCAATTAATCCTTTGTTGTTCCACTTTTCAGCTGCTTTTAAAAAAAATCATTTTTCTCTCCTCTGCTTGCTTTCCCTCTGTTTCCTCAGTTTACCCCAGTGGTTCTCAACCTGTGGGTCTCCATATGTTTTGGCCTTCAACTCCCAGAAATCCTAACAATTGGTACACTGGTTGGGATTTCTAGGAGTTGTAGGCCAAAACACCTGGGGACCCACAGGTTAAGAACCACTGGTTTACCCCAATTCCTGCAAACCAAGGACAATGTGCAAAGTAGTTTGCACACAAGTAACTTAGCCGGAGGGGAAAGAAAGGAGAGGGCAGGATCTTGCTCTTTCCAATAGGCTGAGGGAAAAAGCAAATTGCTACAGCTTCTCTTTCCTTGTGTGCCCTTTTTCATTTCTTTACTCCTTACTATATTAGGATGTTGCTACACATCTCTGAAGTGTTGGAGCCTTGCTGTAGAGGTAGTAGTATAAAGTAAACTAAATTGGATCTCCACCTTTCTGGAAGGCACTGAAATGATTTGCTGAACCAGGCTGGAGATTATTATATGTGGATAGATGCTTTGATGCTAGCCACATTTGGTATCAAGTTTGAGCAGCAACTGCAGTAGCATCTGCTGCTCTGTGGGGGCCCTGGTATGTGGTCTGGTGTGAGAGAAAAAGGATGCATCTACACTGTAGAATGAATGCAGTTTGACACCACTTTTATTGCCATGGCTCAGTGTTTTAGAGTCCTAGAATTTGTAGTTTGGTGAGGCAAAAAATCTATAACTCCTGTAATTGACCCTGGCAGTTAAAGTGGTGTATTTGCTGCATTCATTCTATGGTGTAGATCAGGGGTTCTCAAACTAATGCCTGAGGGCTGGATACAGCCCTCCAAGGTCATTTACCCGGTCCTCGCTCAGGCTCAACCTAAGTCTGAAACGACTTGAAAGCACACAACAATAACAATCCTATCTCATCAGCCAAAAGCAGGCCCACACTTCCCACTGAAATACTAATAAGTTTGTGTTTGTTAAAATTGTTCTTCATTTTAATTATTGTATTGTTTTAAAGTGTTTTTGCACTACAAATAGGTTATGTGCAGTGTGCATGTTTTTTTCAAATTATAATCCAGCCCTCCAACAGTTTGAGGGCTATAACCTGGCCCTCTGTTTAAAAAGTTAGAGGACCCCTGGTGTAGATGGATCTAGAGAGTCCTCCTTCAGGACTGAATTTTTTTTCTTTTCAGTGTTAAGTAGAAGAATGGATTTGGAGTAATAGCACACTGTAGACTCGATGCATTCATTCTTTGCTGTGTTGATATGCCTGCAGTGAAAAATTGTGGGAAGGATGGAAGAATGACTTTGGTCCCTTTATAGCTGTTGCAAGAGATCTAGAAATCATCCCCGCTTTATTACTGTTTTTTAAAAAACACAAAATGAAACCTTTCTTTGCTGAATAGGTGGTTTGAAAACACCCATTGAATAATTATGCTATTAGCCCTTAAGATTGATAGGAATTGTTTGCAGTTTTCTCTAGATAATTTGAGTTCCTTTTCAGAAAACCACCTGGCCACTTTTATATGGCAGAGCTTTACCCTGTGGTAAAACTAGCATCATTGCTAAGTACGAGCAAATATTTGTAATTTTCCAGCTGCTTAGTGGAAATAATGGTGCAGCAAAAAAGCTTGTTCGTCCCTCATATCTCATCATGATGTACACAAAGGATTATCTAACTTGAGTACTCATGCTGTGATCCTGATGAAAACTATCCACATGACATTGCTACCAGAGGGTATGTTTTGCCCCACTAATCTGGTTAATGATGGGACTTTTTATTTTAGTTGTATGTGATGCCTTTCCTTTTTATATTATGTTTTACCCCTATCCTGACACATTACATTGCTCTCAGTGTTTTTAAAATTTGAACTCTTTGCAACTGGCCCTGCCCACTGTGATTAATTTTCTATGTTCAAATGTTCTGATTTTATATTGTTTTTATAATGTTCGATGTGTATATTTATATCGGTTTTGTATTTTATTTTTATTTTTAATTTTTTTCTGCTGTGTTCTTGTTGTATATTGTTTTATTGTACTACTGGGCTTGGCCTCATGTAAGCCGCCCCGAGTCAACTTGGAGAGATGGTGCCAGGGTATAAATAAAGATGATGATGATGATGATTATTATTATTATTATTATTATTTGAGTCCTGATGCTGGAGGAAAGGGGATAGAAATAAATAAATAAATAATACTTGAAACCATGGATAATATAAAATCCTGTTGAAATGAAGAATGTCTGACCCATGAATACCAAAGAGCTGTATGATAAATGCACATTAAATTTATTTAAATATTTACATCCTGCCCTACATTGAGGAATTTGAAGTAAATAATAAAAACATGAATTCTGTGTTGTATGGTATAAGTAACAAGTTTTTCTTTAGAGGGAGAAAAAAAGCACAGTAAAGAAAACTTAAGCCTTCAACTTTCCTTGCCCAGATCAAAGAAGTACTTGAAAATCCTCACCTTCTAACTGTGATTAAAATAGAAGAAGCTGGAGATGAAATTGTGAGCAATGCCATATCCTATGCTCTTTATAAAGGTAAGTTAGTGTTCTTTGGTCTCCCGGCAAGATTTAATTTTTGTATTTTGATTGTAGTCAATTTTGTGAGCTACGCTGATCATTTTAAAAATTAATTGATTCAAAATTTGTTTTGGTCTACAAGAATTGAAATAGAGAGTGCCACTGTTAGAAGACTAATGGTGTTTTCTGATTTCCTGTTTCTCAAAAAAATAAAAAACTGCACTTTGATGATCTCTGGGACAATGTTCATTTTTTTTGTGAATCTGAAAGCATGAATCGAGGGGTAACACTTCTTTGTGAAGCTCTGACTTGTAGAGAGGAGATACAAAGAGTTATGTCAAAGGAATACCAGGGCAGGGCTGTGAGTCCAATCCACAGGATCCAAAGCTTTCACATTCCATCAATATACCCCAAGGATGGGGAAGGAGGCTGAACCAATGATGGAGTTTAGCTTATTTTTCTCCCATGGTAATCACTAAGAAGGAAACTGTCTTAATTAAAAAATACTCAAGAAACAAGCACACCAAGAAACAGAAAACAGGATGCAATGACGAACTCACATTTCTGATAAAACATGATAAACACACAATTGATGACATCTTCAGAAAACCCAGTAGGGTACAATACAACCTCACACCTGAGATAGGAGTATGTTCCTGGACTTTGCATAGATATGCAAAATCACAGATAATAGTGAACTCTATTGAAATGAAGAACTTCTGATACTTTTGTTGTTTATTTGTTCAGTTGCTTCTGACTCTTTGTGACCTTATGGAACAGCCCACATCAGAGTTCCCTGTTGGCCGTGGCCACCCCCAGCTCCTTCAAAGTCAAGCCAGTTACTTCAAGGATACCATTCATCCATCTTGCCCTTGGTCGGCCCCTCTTCCTTTTTTCTTCAATTTTCTCCAGCATAATTGTCTTCTCCAAGCTTTCCTGTCTTCTCATTATGTGGCCAAAGTGCTTCATATTTGCTTCTAATATCCTTCCCTCCAGTGAGCAGTTGGGCTTTATTTCCTGATACTAGTTTACTGTAAAAACATGCCTTAGAAATGCCTGGAGAAGACACATCTTCTATTGGAAGTGGCTAAATGAATCTTTGGGTACTAGTTCTGTGGATATGGGAGTCACATGGGATATTTTCCTTGTAGTGGACCAGAGAACTGTTTTAACTAACCTGTTATTCTGTCAGAATTCATGGTTGTTTTATCATGGGTTCCTCCATTGGCAGAAAAGGGTGGACTAGAAGACTTGGGGTATAGCTGCAATTCACAAATATCTTAGGAATTATTTTCCCTTTGATTTCATCCTGATGGGCTCCAAAAAAGCTTTTATTCTCTTATTCTCCTAGACCTTTGTCAAGATTTCTAGCTCCACACTGAAATCTGAAAAATCTTTTGTCCCATAATTTCACTTATTAATCATGCAAACAAGAGAAAATGCAACAGAGCACAATGAGACATTACGCCCATTTTATTGAAATAAATGGATGGACTGCCAAGGGATTGTACCTCCACGTGTTTTAATTTTTGCGGGTGGGGGCATGGGAAATATGAATGCAAGTTCAAATATTTAACTCATTCTTGGTGTAAGGACTGCAGTCCAAATGATGCTTGTGGTATAAGTGTGTGACAGTAATGAAAACAATTTCTGAAGGGATAACCATGTGAGTCTTTAATGTGAAAAGCCACACTGAATTCTTGTGACAACTTGAAAGATTTAACAAGTGCATGACAGATAACTCTATGAGATGCATGAAGATAACACAATTGATACAAGTATAAATAGTTGGGTATAAGGGAGGAAAATGCAGCAGTCACAGAAGAAGAAATATAGAAAGATATATAGACAGTGACATTTTTTAAAAACTGAAATATTTCTCAAATAAGGATAATGGCCACTTTCTTGGCAAGAAGAAACATATGCCAGATTTGAGTGAAAACATGATGAATTTGGGTAAATTGGCCACTGTTTGAGGGGCAGGATTTTCTGTGCCCTCCCCAAACATAGTGATATTCAAGCTATATTCTCCTGTTTCAGTTTACATTTATGAATATGAATCTGAGAGAGAGCTAGGCAACATCTATGGGTATATGGGAATAAAAAAATACCCAGAAAATGGTACTAATTAACTACAGCCCTCTCTCTTTACTTGTAGCTTTCAGTACAAATGAACAAGATAAAGACAACTGGAATGGGCAATTAAAATTGCTTTTGGAATGGAACCAGTTGGATCTGGCAAGTGAGGAGATTTTTACAAATGATCGACGTTGGGAGGTAGGTAAATTAGCTTACATTCCTTTAATTTGGGCAAAGCTATCAGGAAAGCTGGATCAAGTGAGACTACTGATGTAATTGGGTGACTAAGTTGGCACCAGCTGCCCAGCTGTTAAAACACTAGAAAATTGGAAGGACAAGATAATGAATGTTTGCCAATTTGATTCAGTCAACATGTTCAGCATTAACTTTTCTAGTAAAAATTGGAGGAATGGCAGAATGAATGTGTTTGTGATGTAGTAATGGATTGAGATGACTAGTCACAACGTTATTGGAAATGTGTGCGTGTGTGTGTGTGGATGGTGGAGGAATGAAATTATCATTGAGACTTTCAGTATTCTATAGATTTTGCCATAGAAATGAATCGTAATTTGTCTGGAAGTCAAGAAATACAGACTGCATATGGAGAAAGTGTTTTTTTGTTGTCAACAAAAATGCCAAACATTTTGTTGGTTCTTGTTCCTTGCTAGTCTGCTGACCTTCAGGATGTCATGTTTACAGCCCTGGTGAAAGATAGACCCAAATTTGTTCGTCTCTTTCTGGAAAATGGCTTGAATTTACGAAAGTTTCTCAGTAATGATGTTTTAACTGAGCTTTATACCAACAACTTCAGTAGCCTGGTGTTTAAGAATCTACAGATTGCGAAGAACTCATACAATGATGCCCTCCTTACATTTGTATGGAAAATGGTGGAGGATTTTAGGAGAGGTGTCAAAAAAGAGGACAAAAATGGAAAAGATGATATAGAGCTACAACTGCTGGTAGGTAAAATGCAAACCTTTATTGCTCAAGTACAGATGGACTGCTATTTGTCTCAAATTTAGAAAAAACATGGCTACAAACAAAGCTTCACTTTGGTTTTATGTTCTGTCTTATGTACTTTTAGGATGTTTCTCTTATTACAAGGCACCCCTTGCAGGCCCTCTTTATTTGGGCAGTTCTTCAAAACAAAAAAGAGCTATCCAAAGTTATTTGGGAACAGGTAGGTCACAATTCCAGTATGACACTTTCAAGAGTGAGTTTGCCCAAGAACTTTCTCGGGGGTAGGCAATATATTCTAGGTATGCAATCTTATACACTCTTATCTGGGATGGGTCCCTTCGATCTCAGTGGATTGCACAGGATTGAACAACTTATCTGGCTTTGAACTAGGCTCAGTGCAGAAGTGACCATTTTCCAGTTTAAAATGCACAAGAAAGCTTGACTGTAAAAGTAAAGGGCTCAGCCACCAGTGCATTTTTGTGCAGAAAATGGTGGCACTCTTTGTTTTGTGTGTAGTGTTGCAATTGCATAATTTAAGACACTGAAGTTTTGAGCTTTGGAAAGGAGAAAATGGTTAAAAGCTTTTTGTTTTTGAAGACCATCTGCAGTTTGGTACTTAGTTTTTGGGCAGAAAACAACATTTCCCTGTCCTAGGGAAAACATTTAATGCTTTATTTTCTATGCAGAAAGTGCCTTTTCCTTTTCTGGTGAAAATACCACATGTGAATTTTAAGCAGAATAAGTCACATACTGCAAAGATTCTTGTCAGCCCCAAATCTCCTCATCAGAGTTTTGGGTACTTTGTAAAAAATGTATTCATGTATTCTTCTTATCTCTACTGTAAAGTATGTTCAGAAATTAACAGCTGCTCCTTCTAACTAGAGTATCATTGAATCAATTGCTGTATGGTCTGTCAATAGGTATTTAAGTCCCATTCATTCAGTAGGTCTACCCTAGTTAAGAATTGTGGCTTGGATTAAGGCCAGAGTGCATTAGGGTGTATCTGCACTGTATCATTAATGCTGTTTGGCAACGTTTTAACTCAGTGATATAGAATCCTGGGAGATGAAGTTTGGTTCAGCATCCTTTGGCAGCAAAGCTTGCCTGTGATTCTGTAGCATTGAGCCAAGGCAGTAAAAGTGGTGTCAAACTGTACTAATTCTACAGTGTAGATTAACCTTTAGAAAGGTGTGAAGTCTCCTTCCTTGGAACACCCTGGATAAACTTTAAATGGTTTTGGGGGAGGGGAAGGCTTGGGTTGTTCTAACATATCAAAGGGGAAATAATAGCCATCTGCTCTGGTGCTGCCTTTAGAAAGGTAGCCATTTTTATGTTGTGACCCTTAGTTTCCAGCTCGAGCAGTTAGGCATTTCATACTCCTTTAGACTTTCAGGCACTGCAAGATCAAGCAGAACTGCAGCACCCACATGATTTGTCAGCTATAGCTCCAGGGAATGGGGTGCTTTTAAATTATGCAGTTGCCTTGTTCTTTTGGTATATGAACTGACGTTACTAGAATGTGTCACAGTTACAGTAACTCACAGCTAATGATGTTCTTACACCAGCTATTTTGTCACTTTGCAGACAAGAGGCTGCACGTTGGCAGCATTAGGGGCAAGCAAACTCCTGAAAAGCTTGGCTAAGGTTAAGAATGATATTAATGCTGCCGGGGAATCGGAGGAGCTGGCCAATGAATATGAGACAAGAGCTGTGGGTGAGTCTCAGTAGAAGAAACTCAAACCCCAGAGGAGAACTAATGGTGAAATAAATAAATTGCAAAGTGACATATTGGCAAAGTTTAAATTTCCAATTAGGTTGGAATTTTGTGCCAAATCCAGTGCAACACATGTTTTGAATGTCAGTTGCAATTTATATGTAATTATTTTTACTGGATATTCTAACAACTACAACCTAAATCTGGGGTGGCAGGCCACACAAAGTCTTTTGGTTACATCCAATGTAGTGCTATGCTCACTAATCTTTTCAAGAAGCTAAAAAATAAATGCTTGGATTGATCATTGTTTAACGTAAATATTTTTGGGGTTTCTGTATGCAGGGTATTCTGAAATATGAGTATTATTTCCATGAAAAGTTTAATTTAGTAGATGAATGCTCATTTCAACTATTTAGCACAGTAACAAATGAATGATATTGATGTTCTGCACCCAGAGTGTCACTTAGTCATCTCTAACAAAACATGACCCCTCTAGGAATTTTCTAGACCCTCAAGACAGTTCTATGGCATGCTCCTCTTCCCCATAGAGTTGCCCTGGAGGTAACCTCTCCAGGAATTTTCCAGGGCCTTCAGGGCAATTTCTGGTAGACGTTTGTTTCAATAGGGTTCACTATTATTCATAATTCCCAATTTCTGCAAAAAGTTTAGGAACATAGTTACTATGTGTGTGTTGTATTGTATGGCATTATTTTTGCTTATCTACTGTAGGCAATTTATATTTACTCATTTTAGTATTTTTAAATTTCTGAGCTAAAAAGTGGCACATTAAAAAAAACCAACAACAACTAATGGCCACAAAACAACATGTAATTGAATATAAAAAGCTGTCTTCTCCCATTGGTCCAATTCACTCTGTATTTTTTTTTTCTCTTCTGGGCCTTCTCACATAAAAAGCAGATGATCTCTCACTGAATTCAGGTCCTGTCTTCAAGACATACAGATAACAATAAACATTGACTTCAGAAATCACAAGAACTAAACTCAAGATAGCTGAAATCTTTTAGGATAGAATTAAGAGACAAGCAGTTCTTGATTGTCTCTTTCATTATATTTAGAGCTGTTCACCGAATGTTACAGCAGTGATGAAGAACTGGCCGAACAGCTCCTTATATATTCCTGTGAGGCTTGGGGTGGAAGCAACTGTCTGGAGCTTGCGGTGGAAGCCAAGGACCAACAGTTCATTGCTCAGCCAGGAGTCCAGGTAAATCACAGCAAAATTTCTCCTGTAGAGATACATATGGGATTGTCATGTATGTTGAAATTATGTCTTGCATTTTATGGGGCATTCATGGAAAAGATTGCACCAAAGGGGCAACACTATATTGTGACTGTAGTTGTTGCAATCCAGAGCAGGGAACGAGGCCCTAAGATAACTATCCACCACACTTGACTGTGAAGAACAATCCTTTTTTATTGAAGAAAAATGGTTACAAAATAAAGGAAAAATGCAAGTCAAAAGCCACAGTAAAATCAGCAAACATGAATTTAAATGAACAAAACAAAACCCAAAACCACACTGTAAAATACTGGAACCTGTTAGCAATCCACTAACCGTGCTTGATATCCTAGAAATCTTTCAAGACCATGGCCAGGGAAACTGGGAGAACTGCCAAGGTCTTCATTAATCTGAAACGATGCCTGAACTGAGAAAGTCAGCCCGGCGGAAGGCACTTCAAGCCAAAGAATTGGTTCCGTGAACCGCCCCTCTGCTTTGAAGCCATTGTTTGTATTTCTCTTAATCGGGAAGACCTATGTAAGCTGAGTGATTTACTTCTGTCTTGCCAGATCTGGCCCCTTCTGTTCTCATTAGAGTTACCAGGTGCAAAAGGGAGTGAAAGTTCATGGCTTCCCTCTGAAACATTCTCATGAACACTGGTACTTTCATTTTCCAAATCTACAGAAGTTTCTTCCTCACTAATTTCAGGAGCATTGGCATTTTCCAAATCTACAGAAGTTTCTTCCTCACTAATTTTAGGAGCATTGGCATCAAGAGGTACATTTTCATTAGCATCAGTAAATATATTTTCATTAGCATCAGGAGGAACAAACAGAGAATCAGGTTCAAGTTCAAACTCAGGCTGAACCCCAACAGTTTTTAATTTCTGTATGTATGTATTTTATCTTTTACAATTTAGCTGTAAATCGCCTAGAGCATTCTCGGATGGAGGGCGATTAATAAGTAATTAAATATGATGATGATGATGATGATGATGATGATGATGATGTAGGTGGATGACACTGTTCATCTTAACTAGTATCCCACATGGTATGCTGTTAAGACTGAATTTCTCTGCTATAGTTATCATCCAGTTCATCAAGGTCCATCTACCATTTTCCCTATCAAAATTATATTTTCTCAAACATCTTTTGCCCCATGGCATTGCTTTGACATTAGTATCATGTGCTGGCAAAAGCTATATGAATGAGATCTGGCACTGGGAAACTGCTGAGTGTCCCTCATGTTTTCAAGTCATCCTGCCAAGTCTATCTTGTTCTTGAATATGCATAGCTTCAGTATTAGAAACGTACTGTACTGAGGTTCTGATCTCTCCTGTGAACACCCACCAGTTTGCCATTTCTGTGGGTAAGCAGTTTGACTGAGTCAGATAAAATAGCCAGAATCCAAGTAAATGCCTGTTTCTGAATTTCAGAATTTTCTTTCCAAACAATGGTATGGGGAAATTTCTAGAGACACCAAGAACTGGAAGATCATCCTGTGCCTGTTCCTATTCCCATTGATAGGTTGTGGATTCATCTCCTTCAGGTAAATTGTTTATAATCAAATAATCATATTGCTGTCATTTGGAACATGGTTGTTGATGTGTTATGTGTCCCGCTGTGAGCACAAAAGCATACGTGTGTATGAATATGGCATGCTGGATGAGAGCTAACAAATTGAAACTGAATCCAGACAAGACAGAGGTCCTACTGGTCAGTCGTAAGGCCGAACAGGGTATAGGGTTACAGCCTGTGTTAGACGGGGTTACACTCCCCCTGAAGACGCAGGTTCGCAGCTTGGGAGTGATCCTGGACTCATCGCTGAGCCTGGAACCCCAGGTCTCGGCGGTGGCCGGGAGAGCTTTTGCACAATTAAAACTTGTGCGCCAGCTGTGCCCATACCTTGGGAAGTCGGATCTGGCCATGGTGGTCCACGCTCTTGTTACATCCCAAATAGATTACTGCAACGCACTCTACGTGGGGTTGCCTTTGAAGACTGTTCGGAAACTTCAATTAGTCCAGCGGGAGGCAGCCAGATTACTCACCGGAGCGTCATACAGGGAGCATACCACCCCCCTGTTATGTCAGCTCCACTGGCTGCCGATCCAGTTCTGAGCACAATTCAAAGTGCTGGTTTTGACCTACAAAACCCTATACGGTTCCGGCCCAGCATATCTGTCCGAATGCATCTCCCTTTACGTCCCATTTCGGAGTCTGAGATCCTCTGGGGAGGCCCTGCTCTTGGCCCCGCCTCTGTCACAAGTGAGATTGGCGGGGACGAGGAGCAGGGCCTTCTCAGTGGTGGCCCCTCACCTATGGAATTCACTCCCCGGGGAGATTAGATCAGCAACATCCCTCCTTTCCTTCAGAAAGAAATTAAAAACATGGATGTGGGACCAGGCGTTTGGGCAATCTGGCAGATGAATAAAGGACTGTGACTATAGATAGTAATTGGACAAGGTGGAACGAAATATGAACTCTGAGACTGACGAACGCTGTGTCTGAGATTGGCTATTGATTGTGTGATATATTGCTGTTTTAATTATTTTAATTGTTGACCATTTAATTGCTGGTTTTATATGTTATTGTATTTGTGTAGGCACCAAGATGTGCCTTTTTGTAAGCCGCCCTGAGTCCCCCCTCGGGGGTTGAGAAGGGCGGGGTAGAAGTATACGAAATAATAATAATAATAATAATAATAATAATAACAACATGCAGATTTCTTCCATCCAAGTTTGCTTCAGTTGCAGAGAAATCTCAAAGTGATTGCTTGATTGAAAATTGTGGGATACACTCTGGTAAGCGTGAAGGTGTCTTGTGGGACCTTTAGGACTAACCAATTGGTTTTACTATATGCATTATCATATAGTATGCTGCACTTCTAAAGATTTTTGGGGCAAAGCCACAGCAGTCAGATTGTGAGAGCAATGTGAAGTGTAATAGAAATGCAAGGTAAGTGACTGTAAAGGCTTGCCAATAAGATAAATTTATTATTTATTATTATTTATTTACTGTACTTATACCCCGCCCTTCTCACCCCGAAGGGAACTCAGGGCAGCTTACAAACTATGGCAACCATTCAATGCCAAATTCAGATAACAACAATATCAATAGAACACAATATTATAAAACTATAAGAAACACAAATATATAAATTAAAATAGTCGTTCAAATGAATAAAACGTATTAAAACATTTCAAACATATCAAAATTACATTGCATTGAAGCACGATTACAGGTCTTACAGTCCAGTGGCTTAAACGGCCAATACCCTGATAAATAACAGCTCAGCACCCTCAAAACATTGTCAGTTTTTTCTGTACAAACAAAGATAAAGAATAAAGTGTAGAGAAAAAATCTTGCCTTGCAAAAAATGCTGGAGAGTGCAGAAAGACGCAAACAGTCTAAACGTTGTCATATAGTAGGCAGGGGAGACTATTTGTGTACACACACAGCTATAATGAAAACCAACCTATTAATATTTATAATGTGCTAAGGAACCACCTATGCTAATAGATTGGAATTTGTGGGCATAGTCCAATTCAGTTCTTTCCTTTTCCAATTTTCACTTGTTCCACAAACGCTGTTTTGTGTTTAGTTCATTTTTAAAGAAATAGCTGTGATAATCAGTTTGAGCATCAAATGGGAAGCGCTCTCTCTCTTGCTCTTGTGTGTAGGAACCATCTTTGAGACTATTTTACTTGGATAGTCTTAAAGGTGCTGCTAGAGTCCCCTTCTCTCCCCTACTCTAGACAGTCATCCCATCACCATGCTAGCATGATTTGCATTTCTATCACATTTCACAGTGTTTCTTCAACTGTCTTCCCCTCCTCTAACATTTGTATGAACTGCTGAACCATGAATCCCCTTCCCCCGTCCTATAACTATCGGATTCAGAATAACTCAGTAGTGGAATTGTGTGGATTAAATCACTTTTATTTTATAATATGGATTGTGTTTTAAACACTATCCCATGTGACAGACCTGTACATTGTGTTAAGCAAACAGAGGTTGTTTGAAATCAGCTGTTTGTTTCTCTTGTACAGGAAGAAGCCAATTGAACGGAGCAAAAAACTGTTGTTCTACTATGCCTGGTTCTTCACATCACCCTTTGTTGTCTTCTCTTGGACAGTCATCTTCTACATTGCCTTCCTCTTATTGTTTGCCTATGTGTTACTCATGGATTTCCAGAAGTCACCCACCGTGCTGGAATTGATCCTTTATGTGCTGGTCTTCATCCTGCTTTGTGATGAAGTGAGACAAGTAGGGAGTGCTTAGAAATCAAAAGAGTTTTATTTACAGGGAAGACACTGCCTGTTGCAGAAGAAAGTGAAGGTCCAGTGGTGTTGAACGCCATCCTCCCCTCCCTTCCATCTTGATTCCCACGCAGGTTCCACTAAACAGCCTAGAATTCTATCTTGACCATTATTGTTGAGGTTTTTGGTACACCTACATTGTAGAATTAATATAGGGCCCTTCCACACAGTCATATAGCCCAGAATATCAAGGCAGAAAATCCCACAATATCTGCTTTGAGCTGGGTTATCTGAGTCCACACTGACATATATTCCATTTCAAAGCAGATAATCTGGGATTTTATTCAGCTGTGTGGAAGGGGCCATAGCTTGACACTTCTTCAACTATTATAGTTCAGTGTTCTGAAATCATTGGAACTGCAAGTTTACAAGCCTATAGCCTTTTATGTCAAAGGGTGCTGGTGCTTACTGAACTGCAATGACCCGGGATTCCATAGCATTGAATCAAGGCAGTTAAAGTGGTGCCAAAATGCATTAATGCAGATGAACCATTCGTTAGCTACATTCATATCGTTAGTATGACTGGAATTTGTCTCTGCTTCCATGGTGTGTTAGCATATGAAGCTATGCACAGTTTGTAGCCAAGTTCAGAGATGTCCTAGCCATTAGTAAAGTCAGGGTACATCTACACAGCCACTTTATTGCAGAAACTTCCGCAATAAAAAGAGGCCTGTCCAGATGACGTCCTGGACAAGCCCGAATTAGTCCACCACAAACCAGGAATTAATTAACTTGATAGTGAATTAATTCGATAGTGGTATTATTCTGCGCCTTCTTGGAAGGTGTGGGATAAACCCACTACTTCTGGTGTCTGGAGTGTAGTCCAGACAGTATTCCCACGGTTTTCCAGGCTAAATTAGCCCGGAAAACTGTGGGAATACCAACCACCCCTCCCCAAAAGCCTCCCAAAACTGCTTAAAAAAACAAAAGAACTTACCCTGCCTCCATGAGACAGTTACCAGTGTTCTCCTGGCATGTACAAATGATGTGCCAAGAGAAGGGGGGGGGGATCACTCCTGCCCCTCCCCTTCTCCTGGCGCATCATCTGTACATGCCAGGAGAGCTTCAGCATCTGTTTTGGGGGGCTTTTTTTGGGCGAGGGGGGGGATTTACAGTGTCCCGGGGTTCTCCCAGAAAGTTCTAGGAGAAAGCCCGTGCTTTCTGGGGTGTGTGTAGATAGGCCTCCAGGAACATCAGTGTTTTCAAAATGCATATGCTTCTGTGATAACAGCCTGTCTGGAAAGGCCCTCAGTCCATAATGCTCAATCAAAGCATTAAAGGGGAGCCCAGCAAGAATTCATGTTTGAAAGAACTGAGCTAAAAGAGAATAAACTTAATTTTCCCATAGTCTGACTGCAACCCTTACCTATGTTTAAGAGATTCAAGATTTTTTCACACTACACAGTGATAGTGATATGACTACAGCCTGTGAAATATAGGAATTGGTAGATGCAGGAGGGAACTTTAGAAAGAGGAGAAAGCCACAGCAGTTAAAACACAATTGTAATCCTGCTGTGAAAGGGTCCCAGATCTGTTCTGTTGTATTTGCAATCCTCCATGTTGTTATATTTTTAAAGAGGCAAAGATCTACAATGACACACGGAGCATAAGTTCAGTGCAATGAGCCCTTTCAGCTGAGGATACTCTTGAAGTCTAGGGAGCTTCAAGGCAGGCTTTTATCCCATAAATGCCCTGCCTTAAATATAGAACTGGGAAATCAATGGATATGATTCCCAGATGTCTCCATCTGTCATTGCTTATGTTCCTATGTATCATCTCTTCTAAAAAATTTGGCAAGGGAAAAACAAAACACCTTCACAGTGTGTTCTTATTGGTAGCAAAATGATTCTCTAGCTGAATCATCGTAAATTAGGAGAAAGAATCTGAAACTGTTAGCATGCAATTTGTGCAATTCTTCAGACCAGCCAGGCAAAGCAGAAGGAAATTAGGGGACCCAGGTGCTTCTAGATGCATCTTGCATTGCAAAATAAATGTTGTAGAATGCTAAACAAAGTCTATGAAATATTGCAATAATGTAGCTCTTGTGATGGTAATGTAAATAATGTGACCTGAAGATTCATTAACATCCTAGCCCTGCAGTGATTCAAAGCTTGTGTTCTGGTCAGAATTTTAATTTCAAATCTTCACTCACCAATCAAAACCAGTGGACATAGATATGTTTAGCACAGTAGATGACTTTTTTTTTAAAAAAAAGTGTAATCACAACTGAGTCTATAAGCAAAATCAGAGGACCAAGACCTAGCTCTAATACAGCTGGCTTTGGTGAAATGGTTGTCTGATTGCTCCATTGCACAGCCAAATGAGTTTTCAATGCATTATGAGGCAACAATTTTCAATGCTCTTGTTTATGGATTAGAAATGTGTCTGGTCAGCCGACGGAGCATTCAGCAAATGTTTAACCGCAATGCTGATGTAATGTTCTAGACTGTCTGAGCTGCCTTTCAGCCAGATGAGAAGGCCTTAAGTAGTAACAAAGAGTAAACACAGAAAAACAGAAAAATTATCTAAATACATCTGCTTGTAGACCTTTGTAGGGAATTACCAAGGTATGTGTCGTCCATGAGAAATGTGACTTGAAAATTTTCCCACAGACTTGAAGTGTTGTTTTTAAAATATATATATATTCTATTTACAAACCAGATCTTCTTGGTTTAACCTGATGAAACAGATATTCTGTTCCCCAATCACGTGCCTCTTTGCGAGAGGTGCATCTTAAAGTAGCTCATTCATTAATGCAATTTTTTATTTATACCATTTGTGAAAACAATAGTTTAGTCATCTGTGTAATTGTTGTGTGCCTTCCAGTTCTTTCCGACTTACAGCAACTCTAAGGTAAACCTATCATGGAAAAAATTGTTTAGAAGGGGGTTGCTGTTGTCATCTTCTGAGGCTGAGAAAGTAGAACTTGCCCAAGGTCATCCAGTGGATTTTTATGCCCAAGCAGGGATTCAAACCTTGGTCTAAAGGGCTGTAGTACAATATTTAAGTTACGACCCTATGTTAGCTATAACCTCTTATTAAAGACTCTGCTATAATGTCTTCCTTTAGTTTTATTCATCTGATATTAATGGAAAACAGGGATAGTTTGCATCTGAGAAAATTACTAGGAGACTGCTAAGACTGAGCATGTAAAATACAGCATCTACAAGAAATCAAACTCTATTTTCCTAAAATGTTAAGATATTTCTTCCTTCGCTTTTCTTTCTATCTCTATTCCCCTCTTCTCCTTCCTCGCTACTCTTAAAATATTTATGTGTTCACCCACTTTTGCTGTAAATATTATAAAAGCACAATAAAAATATTTTTAAAAAAGATATTGGAACGCATAAAGATGTATCTACACTGTAGAATTAGTGCAGCTTTAACTGCTGTGTCTCAATGCTATAGAATATTGCAAATTGTAGTTTGGTGAGGTATCTTTAACAGAGAAAGCTAAAGATTTGTAAAATGACAGCTCTCAGGATCCCATAGCAAATGGTGTCCAACTGCGTTAATTCTACAGTACAGATGCATCCTGGGGCAGTGTGATGAAAACAAACTGTAATTGTTCCCATCTGCCAGAAGATGTCACTGCTTCACTATTATACTTACTGAAAAACATTATTGAGCAGGTTCAAATGTAAATTACTACTCCAATGGATTTGAGTTTGCATGTACCTCTGTCTGACAGACTATGCCCCCTTTCACAAGACACATACACTGCCCACACCAATATGATCCCACTTCAACTGTTGCAGTTGCATCAAAGACCCTCCTCCCTCAACGGCAAGTCCCAGAATCTCATAGGATGTTGCCATAGCAGAAAACGTGGGATCTATATTTGTGTAGTGTGAAACAGCCCCAATTTACTGTTCCCATACTTTTAACTTGCTATGAGCACATTGACATACTGCTTGCACTACAAATCGGCTAATATTTGTAATTTTGATATCTAATGTAATTGCCATCCACAAAGTTACGCTATATTCCAAAGAAATAAGTTCACATAAATGGTTTGCAAATTACTCTTTCTCTGAAAATGCTTCATACTGCCACACTGGGGAAAAATAAATAAATGTGGTGAATTAAGGATCAAGGATAATGATCATTCTGGCTTACTTGTCAATGTGTGTGTCTGTATAGGGGAAATATACCCTCTGAGGACTGTGGGAAGCAGAGAGAGAGAAAAATAAGTATTGGGTACTGTTGTTCCCTTAGTTAGGCCTGTTAGCTGGCCCATTTTCTCTGTTCTTGTTCAACAAAGATTTAAAGTTTTCCATAGTTTCATCTTTCACTGTGTTTGAATGCTCCAGAAAGTGCAACAGAGCTGTGATTCTCTTTCCCATATGCAAAATGKTAAAGACTTGGGCACWGGGAATGAAGTARRCCTGARAAGAAATAGTGYGCTGTGACTTAAAAAAAAAAACAACAACAAATATGTAAGGGGRACGTGACTCTTTGTAAACTTAGCTAAAGTAATGTTAGCATTCCATTWTGGCTATTTCAGAATAATTCCACTCTCCAGTATGCTCCAGAAAGTCATTCTCCWGAAATGTGCAATAACAGGGAGAGAATTTCCTCCCCTTCCCCCTTATATAGGGTGAATTTTGGAGAACAGTGCTAMAAATAAAGCTAAGATAYGCATCGTTCTGAAGGAAAGCATATCTAATGTAAAAACWGTCAGTGTGACACAGTGTTTTGATTGTTGTACTGGGACTCTGGAGACCATGGAAAGGCACTGGGTGACTTAGGGCAAATCAAACTCTCTCAGGAAAGGGAATCCCCTTCTGAACAAATCTTATGAGAAGTTCTCCTTAGTAGGAACCCTATAAGTCGAAAATGTCTAAAAGGTACACAACAGTAAATCCGTCATGATCTAAGGACCATTCACACTACAGAATTAGGGCACTGTGATTCCACTTTAACTGCCATGGCAAAATCCTATGGAATTTTCCTGGAATTGCTCATTGAGGGCAGCTGGAGAATTCTCCACTGAGATCTCTGAACAAACTATATAAATCCCAGGAGGCTCCCATAGAAGGCACTCATAGCAGTTAAAGCCAAATCATAGCTCTATGATTCCTGTAGTGTGACAGTGTTAACATGGACATTATTATTTTATGAGCAATATTTAATAACTGTCATTGCAAAGACAATACACATGTGGCACAGCATTGAGATATATGGGAAATTGATCATTGACTGAGCAATGGAAAGCATCTTAATTGGCTTTTCCCCATTTTTTGTGTTCTATAGATATTATTATTTATATTTGTTTCTTCATTTGCATTCTCCTAGAACAGAAAGAAAAAATGCTTAGTATGTTTTAGTATCCAAAACAAATATGAAATAACTAAGATTTTTTTTCTAATTAGATAAACACAACTTCCAATATGACTAAGGTTGCAATCCTTTGCCACATACAAGAACTGGGCTCTTCATAATTGGTGGGGCTTATTTATTTATTTATCCTATTTATACCCCATTTTTGTCTACCCCAAAGGGGACTCAAGGTGGCATACATATGGGCAATTATTCAATGCCTTAGAACACATAAAATTCCAATAAACGTTAATATTAAAATTAAATTAAAATTAATGGATATTTAAAACATTTAAAAACATTACATTCAATATTAAGACCATACAGCTGTCCAATCAGATACATTTTTACTCTAATATAGGTTGTGTTCAGTGAAGGTTTTTGCTGCTGAGTGATTTTACAGGTGTCAACTTTTGATCACTTATTTGGTAGAAAGCTGTGCTTTGAGTATGGTGAGATTTGCTTGTGTTATTTATCATCAAGGTGACTTTGACCCATGACAGTTCTATAAATCAGAGACCTTCAATAATCCTGGTAATGAATTGCCCTAGTAATGAATTGCCCTGGTAATGAATTGTCCTTTAAACTTTGGGCTGTGGCTTCTTTGACTTAAACAATCCATCTATAATGCAGTCTTTCTCATCACCTTTTCCACTAAGGTATGCCATCTTATATACCCAAAGTATGATACCCTCAGTTTTGTCATATTGGTTTTTAGTGAGAACTCAGACCTCATTTGCTCTAAGATCCATTGGTTTTTCTCTAAACGAGCAAGATGTAGTTTGCATAAACTTCTGTGTGCCATTTCATTTGCCTGTTAAGAGCTTCATTTCCCAACCAGCTGTCTTCAGGAAAACAATGAAAGTCTCTGTGGATTTCGTCCCACAACAGGTAGAATGGTCTTCTTTGCATGACATTTCATGGGGTTCCATCTTTAAAGTAGATGGAGACTTTTCTCACTCCCATCACACACAATCACCTCCTTAGCTCAAGCATTTCAAGGACACCAGCACACTTTTAAAAATAGGCATCCTTTTTGAAATACCACTTTCTGCGGGATTGTTCCCCTTAAGCCCACAGACTAAAGGGGATAGGCACGTGTTTTGAAACACTTCCTTCATTGGGACCCACACCATCTTTAACCGACTAATGGAAACAGAGGGAGCGTTAGCAGACCACCACATGCATGTCCACACTGAAACATATCAAAGTAATTAAGCATATCCACTACTTCCCATCCCAAGGAAAATACCTATTTTAAGTGTTTTTATGTGCAGGGAAATGATTGGAGTCAATTTATACCCATCTTTGAAATCCTTCCATTTCTACACAATGTAGAGATGGAGTCCCATGAGCAAATACCAGAAGCCATCCTGCATTGTTGGATGGCTGGGGGGGAGGCTCTCTTTGAAGTGTGAAGAAATGGGTAGGAAAAAAAATCCATATGATGAGTTTCTATAATAAAAATTCCATTTTGAGACTGGGTTTGTGGTGCTAGTGATATACAACCTTCTTCTGTTTGGTGACTGTTTTTTCCTTTTTTCTTTAGTGGTATATGAATGGTAGTAAATACTTCTCAGACATGTGGAATGTTATGGACAGCCTTGGAATTTTTTACTTTTTGGCAGGAATAATATTTAGGTGAGTTTTCAGAGAACACTGCCACTGTGCTGAGTTCGATGCTTTGAGCTCACTGGGAGTCCCTGGTGGTACAGTAGGTTAAACCCTTGTACTGACAGAACTGCTGACCAGTAGGTCAGCTGTTTGAACCCAGGGAGGGGGGTTGAGCTTGCTCTGTCAGCTCCAGCTCCCATGCGAGGACATGCGAGAAGCCTCCCACAAGGCTGGTAAAATATCAAAACATCCTTGTGCAACGTCCTTGCAGATGGCCAATTCTCTCACACTTGCAGTGACTTGCAGTTTCTCAAGATGCTCCTGACATACACACACACAAAAAAGGGAGCAGACCATAAGAGCCAGCTGTTTCGATTGTGTGGGATTAGGAGTTCAGGACCCTCAGAAAAGTAGAAAAACTAGATAAAAACATCCCCCCCCCCAAAAGAACAGCTCTTATGAATCTCTATGTCTTCTAGCACAACTCTGAGGTCAACATCTACTGGAACCTAGAAAATCCCAGTGAAGTGTTTTCTATATGAAACTCAAGGCCCTCCAGTATGATTTTATGATCAACATTGATCATAATGTGGCACTGGAAACCCTCGAGGTTCTTGGCAACAACATATTTGTGAAATCTGAGAATAATCAAATCCACAAATGTCAAACCTGCAAACGTGGAAGGCAAACTGTATGTTGTGATGGACTGAATGATGTTTGATGGAATCAAACTGGAGTTACTTCATTCAAACTCTTGGAGGCGGGGGTTCAAGCTGAGTGAAAGGAAATAATTAGTATGTGTTTATTGATTATACTTACATATTTCTTACAATACACATTTTCCAAATAGTGTATTTCTGTCTCTCTGCGCAGGCTCCACTCTTCAAATGAAACCTCTTGGTATTCCGGCAGGGTAATTTTCTGCCTTGATTACATTATTTTTACTCTCAGGCTGATCCATATTTTCACAGTAAGCAGGAACCTTGGCCCCAAAATTATCATGCTTCAGAGGATGGTAAGATATACAGCTGTTTCAGAATGAAATGTTATGTGCAATTGTGGTATTTCAAACTGGAGAACCTTGGAGGCCTCTCTGTGTTAATTTAAAAAAATCTCAGGGGCTAAGAAAGAAATGCTGAATGGAAACGTTTACAGTTTTCCTGCGTGGGCTGGTTTTGAATTCATTACCAGCTCCTCAGGGCAGAAACTGTGCAGTGACTGTCAGTCGAGTGGCATTAAGTGACACATGTTACATCCTTGCATCTCTGTTGTTGGATGGTACTCAGTGATGGGATCTCTTCTAGTCCTTTGCATTCTACCCAAATCCTTTTCTCCCTAACAGCTGTCAAGCCATGGAAGCGGTTGCTTCTGCTGCTACAAATCACTCTGTATGGGTGGGGTGGGGTGTGGGTATAGGAAGGCAATTCAGATAAGAATAATTCAGATGTTTTGGGAGTGCACCCTCATTTTTTCTCCTCTTTTAGCTGAGGCCAGCTGATTCACCCTCATATAAATTGTTCTCCTGCTCCCCTGGTAAGCAGTATAGTGGTCCTTCCAGTAGTTGACAGCTGCTGAGTTAGAGGAAGGACACAGAGCTGTGTGGATTGACAATTACAGGTCTAATCAATGTTGGAGCTCTGCAATTGTGTTAAATATTTGCCGTGCTTACACAAAGGGAGCATTTGTGCTGCAGAATGAATGCAGTGTGATACTACATTAATTGCCATGGTTCAATATCATGAAAGCATGGGGGGGGGGGGGGGGGGGGGGTCGTAGATTTCCAAGCTATTTAACCTTCTCTACCTAACAGTGCTGATGCCTCACCAACTATAGATCCCAGGACAATATGGCAATTACATTGGTGTTGAACTGCATTAATTCTACAGTGTAGAGACAGCTAGAGAAACATTTCAAGCGTACTTCCTTGAACTTCCGACTTGGGGTGCATCTACACTGTAGAATTAATGCAGTTAGCTACCATTTTAACTGTTGTGGCTCAATTCTATGGAATCATGAAGTGTCAGCACTAGTTGGCAGAGAAGACCTTGTAAAACTACAACTCTATTTCATAGCATTGGGCATGGATGGTAAGTGGTGTCAAACTGCATTAATACTGCAATGTAGATGCAGCTAAAGACAACCGTATGCTAAAGTCACCAGTCCCATTTGATACTAAAAGCTAAGCAGGGTCAACTCTGGTTAGTACTTGGGTAGGAGACTGTCAACAAATACCAGGTGCTGTAAGCTCTGTTTCGGAGGAAGAAACTGGTAAAACCAGCTCTGAATATCCTGACACACAGGAAACGGATTGGTCAGAGCAGTGTTGCAGCACAGCCAATTTCTAGAGAAATAAAGTTGTTTTGAAATGTAGATTGAAAAAGCCCAATACTGTAAAAAAGGAAATAAATAATTTGCTGAGATGATTGTTTTCACTTACCCCTGGAAGTGAAGCTCTGATACATTTTAAAGTACAAAGGAGGCTGATGTTAATAGTTGTACTGTGACTGTATTATATGTAACCCTGCAATTCTCCAACTATTGTTGGACTGCAGCTTCCAGAAACTGTAGTCAGTTTATCCAGTAGCAGGGGATTAAAGGAGCTGCAATACAATAATAGCTGGAGGAGAGCAGGATTTCCACCTGTTGTCTGTTTATGGTCTGTTTTCTTTGAAAAGTGATCATTGTATTGACTTAGAAATTTTTCAGACCCTGTTTGAACTGATAGCTCTTATGCATTACACGAGATCCCCTTTTAGAGTTCTTCTTTGGGTGTGCTCCTATAGACCAAGATCCTACAAGCAGGCATAAACCCATATGCTAGAGCAGTGTTTCTCAAGCTCTGCTCCTCCAGGTGTTTTGGACTTCAGCTCCCAGAAATCCCAGCCATCTTACCAGCTGTTAGAAATATTGGGAGCTGAAATCCCAAACATCTGGAGGAGTACAGTTTGAGAAACCCTGTTCTATAGGAAGAAGTGCCAAAGGGAAACAGATCATGTAATGCAGTGATTTTGGTGGGGTTGAGCTACAAAAGCCATGCCTACCGTAAGGTTTGTCTTTCCTGCTTGGGAGTTGGCCAATCATTCCCTCACATTTTGTTGCCATGCATTGCTATTGGTACATCCTAAGTCACCAACAGTAATTCACTCATAGCATTCACGTATTTGTTGTTGGAGACCTGGATGAAAACTCTCCCTCTTGTTCTTCAGCTTGCAACTTCATTTGAATAATTTACTAGATTTTGTGCCGTATCCTCATGACTATTCCCAATGTTCTCTTCCACAGCTGATAGATGTCTTCTTCTTTCTCTTCCTTTTTGCGGTGTGGATGGTGGCCTTCGGTGTAGCCAGGCAGGGGATATTGAGGAAAAATGAACAGCGCTGGGAATGGATTTTCCGATCAGTCATCTATGAACCTTACCTTGCTATGTTTGGTCACTATCCGACTGACATTGATGGTATCCATTTTGATTTGCAAATCCCCAGGAACAATTGTGCTATTTAGTTGCCCCACACTGGTTATTTTGAACTGGTTGCTAAAATGGTTACAACACATGGAGGCTGCTGAGGTCAGAAGAAGTGAAGGGGAGGAGGAGGAAGAGACTGGAGTGTACAAGAAGGTTATAGAGCAGGCATGGGCAAACTTCAGTTATCCAAGTGTCTTGGACTTCAACTCCCAGAAATCCCAGCCAGTTTACCAACTGTTTGGAATTGTGGGAGTTGAAGTCCAAAACACCCAGAGGGCCGAAGTTTGCCCATGCCTGTTTTAGAGGATATAGATGTAAAGGATTGTAGGAGAGGGAAGGACTGGAGTAACTAGAGCCATGGGAGAGAGCCGAGGAAGTGGATGTGCTGAGTGCCCCAATGTCTGCTGTGGGCTCTCAAGAGGCTGGAGGAAATCTCAGCTGGGAGACCAACATCACCAGTTCCTGGAGTCTCTGTAGGTAGGCAGCAAATGTCCCCAGGTGACGGAAGACTAGCAGGACACATCTATCCATATAGGCAGAATACCAGTGAGAAACGGTAATGATTTTGAATGACACCACTGCTTAAGAACTATGGGTTTGTGTTTAAGGGTGGAAAGAATATTCACTTTAATTTATTTCTTGGCTTTCTGATAGTGAGGAAACTAAGCTGCTAAGAATAATGAGCAGCAAGTCTTCCATACAGTTTTCTTCCAATGTTGAAACTGTCAGGGATCTGAGTGCATGGGTTTCAGCTGACCCCTGGTTTAACCTGCAGCATCCAAAACAAATGTTTCTGGGGCATGCACAAATTCAGCCAGACTGCTTCCTCTGTATCTTATCTGCTTGTCATTGCAAAAGTTTCTTTATCTCTCTGCTTCTGCTGTTTTTAATTAAACACTCTGTAACACTATTTTTCTATCAAGCAACCTTGATGCCAAGTTTTATTTCTTGTCCATTACTTCGTTACCAAACTATATACAAACAATACTTGCAGCACAAACAACCAATGATGAGAGATGAGAGAAAGATAGAAGACACACGGCTTCTGGCTTAAATACTCATTGGCTTGACCCCCCTTAGGATCCAGCCCAGAAATTTACCTCTAGGCTTGTCACCATGACATGGCCAGACATGTCGTTCTTGATCCAGCCTCCACACTAAACAGGCCTGTCCAGCTGATAGATGTCTGGAGGAATGATTTTTTCTGCACATGGCTTAGCCACTATATATTAACAGAAATGCCCCAAAGTATTCTGGAAATTTTTTCTGTGCAGAGAGAAACATGACCTTTGTTCACAAAATACAGTTCCAGTGTAGAAAATGTGTTTCCTGCAGAGGAAACAGGGCTTTCTACATAAATAATGTATTTTTCCAGGTGATGTTTGTATTATTTCTTTTTCTTTCTTGAGCCTTTTCCAAGGCACATTAGGCTTTGAGAGTAGCAAAACTTTTGAAGCCTCTCCCAAAGACCTCCCACTCTTTCCATTGCAGTTCCTGAGTTGGAAGCTGGCTGAAATCCAGTCATGGCTTAAGGCAGTGGTCCTCAACCTGTGTATCCTCAGATGTTTTGGCCTTCAACTCCCAGAAATCCTAACAGCTGGTAAAGTGGCTGGGATTTCTGGGAGTAGTAGGGCAAAACACCCAGTTCTCAACCTGGGGACCCACAGGTTGAGAACCACWGGCTTAAGGATCAGGAAATAGGAAGGATTTTTAAAAAGACGGGAAATCAAAGGAAACAGGATGTGTCAGCTCACGATAGCTGGGCTCAATGATGACACGAGACTTCCATCATAATCAAAGAACTTTACTATCAGATACTAAGACACAGAAAAGCCGGGATTGCCTGGTCGCAGCAGGCAATCCCTTATATACACTCCCACCAGTTCAAAACTCCCACCAGTTCACAGTCAGGAAGAACTTCCTGAACTTCACAGTCAGGAAGCAGTGGAACTCTCTGCCCCGGAGTGTGGTGGAGGCTCCTTCTTTGGAAGCTTTTAAACAGAGGCTGGATGGCCATTTGTCAGGGATGATTTGAATGCAATATTCCTGCTTCTTGGCAGGGGGTTGGACTGGATGGCCCATGAGGTCTCTTCCAACTCTTTGATTCTATGATTCTATGAAGTCCCCAACATCCGGACTTATCATCTGTCCTCTACTAGGCAGAGAGCCTTCTCGATTGTAGCCCCTTATTTATGGAATGCCTTGCCAGTTGAAACCCGATCTATCCGARACCTACTTGCTTTTCGGAAAGCCTGTAAAACCTTTCTCTTCCGACAAGCTTTTGATGGGTGAATAACTCGGGACTATGTCTGTTCTTGTTTTTATTGTATTTTAAAGTTAATTGTATTGTTTTACTCTACTGCTGTAAACCGCTCTGAGCCAATTGGGGAGTAGCGGTATACAAGTCAAATAAATAAACTGCAGAGTCTGGACTAGATGGCACTTGGGGTATCTTCCAACTCTATGATTCTATGGTGATTAGATCTGAAATCTTCCATATATTCCCTGATTTATGAACTGAGGAGATACCAAAACTAACACACACCTTAGAGACAAAGCAGTCTAATACATACCCAAACATGGCTATTAGTAAGTTAACCAGGAGGATATTGGTTGAGAGCATGTAGATGCACACTAGTGGAATGGTGATCCACTCTGGGAATCGAGGGAGGTTGTTGGAATCCACCTCTACACACAAAGGCTTGGATTCATTTCCAACAGATGTGCAGTGATCAAAATCATATGTGGTACCTGTCATAAAGGAAGGGGTGAGGGAGAAAACAATTCTGAATCACTGAGATGTATCAGTATATTTTAGCAGTCACTTTGCATTGACATATTGTCTGAGAATCCAGAAAATGAAACTGTCCAGATGATTTAAACTACATCTTCCAAAAGACTTCGGCCATATTATCTGAGGCTTCATAGTCCAAAACATATGGAAGATATCACATCATCAATCCCTTCTTTAGAATCACTGGCAACACAACAATAATTCTATATCATGCTTTGTTTTCAACAATATCTGCTGAGCTAAGTCTGTACAAGTCTTATTCCCCTCCTCCAAGCCATTGTGGCATCTGGCTCTTTGTGAGAAACACTCCACACTCCACAGAATGGATCCAGCACTTCCCATCTTTCACATTTTCCAGAAAAGGAATTGGCTTGGATATGTGAGAGGACAGAGAGATTAGTCCTCTATTTCTGATTGATGTCATGGAAATGTACAGGCTCTTTTTTTTCTTTTTTCTTTTTTTTTGCAAAGAATGTTTACTGGCAGAGAATATCAAGGGAGCAAAGTGAGAGAATGATGGAGGGAAGCAGGAGCTATTGTAAAGGTAACTTCTGTCTGTTAGCTGGTGCACTACTTCTACTCCTCCATTCTGTTTTTGATTTTGATGTGGCTGAGGCTGGTCAATTGCAAGTGGATACATTGTGTGCTCCCTCCACCCCTTGCCCTCACCATTGTTTTTTGTTTGATGTGTAATTTGAGCAGAGATATTGATAACCACAGTGGCCTGCTAAAGATTCAGTCTAAAGAAAATCTCAATAGTTTCAGCAGTGAGGAAAGCGGGAAGATGGGACAATTGGCAAAGCTCTACAGCTGCACAGAACAGAATTTAGGTTTAGTGGGGTTTCGCAGGTGTGCACTGAAAAATACTTTTTAAAAAAAATAAAGAAATGGGTGTTGTGGCTGCCTTAACAATTTAACAACTGGAAAAAGTAGTTAATCTTTTCAGGAGAAAAAAGCAGCAATTAGACTTTCTCAATATTTCCTCAATTTTCTTTCAAAAGGCTGCACGCAATTCACTCTTCTTGTTCTCTTTCTGGTTGTTCAGTGAAATCAGGACTGCAATCAATATCTTCTTCATTAAAAACAACTGAAGAGACCTTTTAGTGACCTGGTGTTTAAAGCTTTGATTCAGAATGCTGAATACCAAAACCAGGAAAAGTGGAACTTTGGATTGCGCAGCGTTCAGTTTCAGCAACCATGCAGTTGCTCCAGCCCTATAGAACACCACAGAGGTACAGACTGAGCTTCCAAAAACAATGTTAGACATTATGTATGGTCACTAGGGTCTGCTAGTAGTTACAAGAGCTCCGAAGCCTCCGAAAAGTCAGGAAGAGCAAAAGAATGCCATAAGCAACATCCTTACTCATACATCCTTGTCAGGATCCAGTTTCCGGAGCCCAGACTTTGGCGCCGAAAACTAGACTCCTGACGTTTCACCCCGATAAGGAATCTGCAGCTGGTGGCCTTGGAGGGAGGCAGTTGTCTGGTGGCGGGAAGCTTTTGCGTGGGGTTTTGGGTTTGGCGGGAGTTCACGTTTTGAACTGGTGGGAGTGTATATAAGGGATTGCCTGCTGCGACCAGGCAATCCCGGCTTTTCTGTGTCTTAGTATCTGATAGTAAAGTTCTTTGATTATGATGGAAGTCTCGTGTCATCATTGAGCCCAGCTATCGTGAGCTGACACATCCTGTTTCCTTTGATTTCCCGTCTTTTTAAAAATCCTTCCTATTTCCTGATCCTTAAGCCTGTGGTTCTCAACCTGTGGGTCCCCAGGTTGATATTTTTTGCCGACTACTCCCAGAAATCCCAGCCAGTTTACCAGCTGTTAGGATTTCTGGGAGTTGAAGGCCAAAACATCTGAGGATACACAGGTTGAGGACCACTGCCTTAAGCCATGACTGGATTTCAGCCAGCTTCCAACTCAGGAACTGCAATGGAAAGAGTGGGAGGTCTTTGGGAGAGGCTTCAAAAGTTTTGCTACTCTCAAAGCTTAATGTGCCTTGGAAAAGGCTCAAGAAAGAAAAAGAAATAATACAAACATCACCTGGAAAAATACATTATTTATGTAGAAAGCCCTGTTTCCTCTGCAGGAAACACATTTTCTACACTGGAACTGTATTTTGTGAACAAAGGTCATGTTTCTCTCTGCACAGAAAAATTTTCCGGAATACTTTGGGGCATTTCTGTTAATATATAGTGGCTAAGCCATGTGCAGAAAAAATCATTCCTCCAGACATCTATCAGCTGGACAGGCCTGTTTAGTGTGGAGGCTGGATCAAGAACGACATGTCTGGCCATGTCATGGTGACAAGCCTAGAGGTAATTTTCTGGGCTGGATCCTAAGGGGGGGTCAAGCCAATGAGTATTTAAGCCAGAAGCCGTGTGTCTTCTATCTTTCTCTCATCTCTCGTCATTGGTTGTTTGTGCTGCAAGTATTGTTTGTATATAGTTTGGTAACGAAGTAATGGACAAGAAATAAAACTTGGCATCAAGGTTGCTTGATAGAAAAATAGTGTTACAGAGTGTTTAATTAAAAACAGCAGAAGCAGAGAGATAAAGAAACTTTTGCAATGACAAGCAGATAAGATACAGAGGAAGCAGTCTGGCTGAATTTGTGCATGCCCCAGAAACATTTGTTTTGGATGCTGCAGGTTAAACC